GAGGGGCACAGAAGCTCAGCACCCACCCCAGACCTGCTGGGTGGCACCTGCATTTCCATGAGGTTCCCCATGTGACCTGTGTGCAGGCAAAAGTCCGAGAGCACTGGTGTCCCCAGCACTGTTCCTTTCTCGCTGTCATCACAGAACCTTATGTGAGCAAATGCTTTCAGCTTGAAAATTGATCTCCAGGGCTTGAAATTAGAGTCCCTGAAGCCTTTTCTGCCCGGAGAGAGACTCACCTGGGCTTTCTCACCTCTTCCTGAATTAATTCCAGAAGTGATTCCCCGTGGCATTTCAGCTGCTGTCTCTTCTGTGCTGGTGTCTCTCTCCTGGGGCTTGGCCAAAATTAAAAAAAAAAAAATAGTGTCACTGCTTGGCAGACCTTGCATTTCTTAATTGGAAGTTTCGGAATTTTTCATCCTTCTGACCACTTTGTTTTTCCTGTTCCCTGTCCTTTGAAGACAGAGTGTATTGCATTCTAATTTACATCAGTTACCTGGGCTCATAAATTAGTGACTAAATGGTGCTTTTCTTTGTTATTTTATCTTTTGCAGTCTCCCAGTGCACTTATAAAGATGTTTCTGATTCATGTAAAAAGAAATCACACTCTGTGTTCAGATCTTATGTATCAAAATAAATGATATCATAGCAATGTTAATTTTTTCCTTCATTATTGATTCTTTTGGAGAGAGAGAGAGAAACATCAGTTTGTTGTTCCATTTATTCATGCACTCATTGGTTGATTCCTGTATGTGCCTTGACCAGGGATTGAACCCACAACCTTGGTGTATCAGGACAATGCTCTAACCAACAGAGCTACCCAGACAGGGCTACCATAGCAGTTTTAAAACAGACACATAAATGGTTTATCCTTAGGAAAACGTTCAAGTTTACCTGCTACATGGTTGGACAGAATGTTAATTTCATGACTCTTTAAATGTATGATGTTTAACCTTTCCTATAGAAAAGCTGTTACTTTACCTTGTGTAGTAAGTATCGTGTCTGCTTTTATGCGTGTTTGGAATGTGACAGGTAAATGGTAAAAGCACACAGACAGGAAATCCTAGAGCCAGGTTGTCTAGAAGACAAGAGGTATTGAATAATATTGCCATGAAGCAACTTAAAATATCTTTTTTTAAGATTTTATTTATTTTTTTTTAGAGAGGGAAGGGAGAGAGAAAGAGAGAGAGAGAGAGAAACATCAATGTGTGGTTGCTGGGGGCCATGGCCTGCAACCCAGGTATGTGCCCTGACTGGGATCGAACCAGCGACGCTTTGGTTCGCAGCCCGCGCTCAATCCACGGAGCTACGCCAGCCAGGGCAACTTAAAATACCTTAAGAAATGGTTTTCTTCTTTTGTTGTTAATTTTTTTTAGAGCTATTATGTCGAAAGGAATATGACCCTTCAAAGTAAGCAGCTTTTATCTGGTATAAGTGTGTGATTTTCAGATGCTGATGCAACCAGCTAGAAATATTGTGTGTATATAAATATAGGACTAAATGTTATTTACACATTTTAATACAGGTATCAGTACACAAAATCTGTTCACAATTTTATCTTCACTCTTGATTTGCATCTCTGCTGGCGAGTCATGCATACCTCTGAAGCTTCCCTTTCAGCTTCTGTGTGATTAGAATAAACTATTTTAATTCTCTATTATGTTTTTTGTAACCTGAGAAATTACGTAGCATTATTGTTCACTTATACCATCAGAATTTGTTTAGATTTAACCATATTGCCTTTAACATTTATTTATTCTCTATTCTCAGATTTTCCTTCTGGGGTAATTACCTTTCCTCTTGAATTATAGCAGGTCCTCCATTATCATTGTTTTGTTCAATGTCACTTTGGTACAATGTCAGTGAGATGCTATGGGAACTTAACTCTTCTTTATATCAATCAGCCTGTAGTAAAATTGGTTCATTGTCTTGCTTAAAGCCACAGAACCTGTCAACGAATTTAGGGGCTACCCTTGTGTAGGGAGGCTTCTCTGCTGAGGTCTTCTGTTGGTGCAACCACTTTTTCTTAGCTGAAAATGTCCTTCTTTTGAGACTAGAGAGTATTGCTGGTTCTTTAAATCTAAGATGTCAGGGTATTTTTTCGTAGCACTTTGGAGATTTTATTTCACTGTCACTTGGCTCCCAGTTCTGTGAAGTAGGTATCTGATGGTGTGACTGCCATTCCCGTTCTCGGACCGCCTTTCCAGTGTCTCTTTGTCTTCAGTGCTCTGTGGTGTCATCCTGTGTGCCGGCATGGGGCATTAGAACATTCACCTTGCTTGGGATTTCATGGTCTTCCTGCATTGAAGGATTCATGTCCCTTACTGATTTTGGACAATTTTTAGGGCTCTCTCTTTGAATATTGTCTCTCCCCAGTTCCCTCTATTCCTTCTTTTTAAAAGTTTGACCAGCCCTGGCTGGTGTGGCTCAGTGGATTGAGTGCCAGCCTGTGAACCGAAAGGTAGCTGTGGTTCAGCTCTGCCTGGGGTGCGGGCCAGGTCCCCAGTAGGGTGTGTGTGAGAGGCAACCAATTAATGTACCTCTCACACATCGATGTCTCTCTCCCTCTCTCTAAAAATAAGTAAAAATCTTTGAAAAAACTAACCAGAAAACTTTGATCAAATGTATGTTGGGCCATCTCATCTATCTTCCATGCACCTTAATGTGTCTTTTTTATATTTCTTACCCTTTTATTTTCGCTGTCCTCCACTCTTAGATATATCCTCCAGTTCATGAAAGCTCTCTTCAGCTAGGTCTAAACTGACGTTTATTGTTTATTATATATTATGTATTGAGTTTAAAAATGTAAGTTAATATTTTTTATTTCTAAATGTTGTTTTTTCAAGTCTTTTTAGCCATTTACGTAGCCTCTTGCTCCTTACTCATGTTTTCTGTCCCTTCTTTTTAAATGAATTAACACACTTTAAAAAATACATTCCATAATTCCAATATCTGAAGTGTTTACAGATTTGATACCGTTTGTGTGTTTTTTTCTCTTTTGGTTAGTTTCTCAGCTTTTTTTTTCATAGTACCTTGTATCCTTAGGTGCTTTGTAATGTTAAATTTTGCAATCATTTGTTGGGATTCTAGGTACAGAGTACCTGCTGGACTGGTTTGAGAGTGAGTTTTTCTGGAGATGATTTATGTTAGCTTCTGGTAGGCATTGGAGACCTGGTCCACTTTAAATTGTGGTCCTCAGCATGTATGTTTTCAGACCATACAAACAGTGTACGTCCCAAACTTGGGGAGCCTTTTTGTGAAATAGCGGCGTAAAGTCCGACTTGCAACACATACTTTTTCTTGCTGTCCTCTGAGGGGTGGATCAGTTTCTTGCTTATTCATGCATGCCCCGAGACTGGCACTTGTGGGGGTCTCTGCTTTTGGGAGATGGTTTTTAATTGGGTTCTTTACTTGTCCCAACCCAGCACTTGTCCCTCGTGCCCCCATGTCCTAGCATTGGGCTGCCTGGTCTCGTGTCCCTCTTGGCTCTCTGGGGACTTCAGTGTTCAGTGACCCCCCATAGTCAACTCCTGCTTTGCTGCTATACTCAGTCCATGCCCCCCATTGTCTGGGAGGTTCATTCGGTCATACAGGAGGATGTTTTTGGAGATGTATCGAGCATGCTTAAGTGTTATGAAGTGGGAAGGCTTTGAGGTCTCTAGTCTGCCATGTCGCCAGAAATAAAATAGAAATAATTTATTTCTGAAAAATAAATGGAGTGCATGCAGGATTATCCCTATGCTAACCCACACTTGTGTTCTGACAGATTGTCTGGATAAGTGGGAGGAGGATATTGTTACGAGTCGTGGCAGCGACTCAGTCCCCAGCCTGGGTCTCACCCTGTAAACAGCACCCTGTGCCCTGGCCTTCACTGGGGGCCGTGGCCACCACCTGTCCTGCTTCTCTGTGCAACAATATATCTGAATCAGAGGTGGGGACACCTGAACCACTTAAATGATAGTGGCAGCTGCCACAAGGAGAGGGAATGCACACATCGGAGAACATAGGATGCTTTTGGCACGTAGTGGAACTTGGTCCTCAGACACCACTCACTCGCTCATTCAACGGACGCTCATTGCACTCTCACTTTATGTAAGGGATGCAGATCTACCGTCCTGGTCCTCACGAAGCTCACAGTTGGTCTCAGGCGGATGGGATGAGGGGTACGGCAGTAGGAGCTAGGGAGAGGTGCCAGCCCAACTTGGGGAGGGAGGGGGCGTCTCTGCTGCGTCTGCAGGACCAGGAGGCGTCGTCCTGGGGTAGAGCTGGGGGAAGGGCATTCCTGGCAGAGGGGCAGGAGTGTGCAAAGTACACTCCTGCCAGAGAGAACTTGGGTGCAGGGAACTGCTCGTTTGGGCAGAGCACAGTCAGGAAGGCGTGAGGCTGGAGCAGGGGTGATGAGAGGTGAGCCTGCAGGCAGCCCGGGGGCCCGCCTGTGGAAGGCCGTCGGACCGGGAGGCCATGGAACCCTCTCACCTGAGGAGTGAGTGATGCTATCAGAGTTGCCATGTTCATTTCTCTCAGGAGCCAACTCTATGGAAGAGAAAGAACATGGGTTTGGGAGGTAAGGCAGGCTTGCATTCAGTTTCCACCTCCACTTGTGTCCACGTAATCACGTAATCGGTGTCCTTACCTTCTGCGAGCATCTCTGTTGCGTGTGATAGATACACGAGAGAGAACTGACTAGACAACTCCCCAGGGCCTCCCCTGTTTGCACTGTTCTGTGGTGACGTTAGCGAGAAAGCGAGAAAATGCCTTTGTGTGCACACACCGAAGCTTAAGTGAAGCTGCAGCTCCAACGTGTGACTGTTGGCAGATGCTACCCTGGCAGCGATGCTGGCAGTTCCTGGCTTCCAGTTAGCTTTTTCACTTCAGTGAGTCGTGACGGTTCCCAGTGAGCGGGTCTTTGTTGAAAGAGTACATTTTTATTTCTGAACCCAAGGCTGAGCTGTGTGACTGGCCTGGCCTTGCAACTGACCCAGCTTTTATTGGCTTTGTAGATGAGCGTTCTGCGGCACAGCACAGCCTTCCCGCGCCCTCCGTGGAGCTCCCGCTGCAGAAGAGCACCGTGCGGAGCCCTGCACACTCGGCCTTAGCGGGAACCGCCCCGGGGCCCCGGCCCAGCCGTCCCCTCCTCCGTGCCACGCCATCCCCAGCCGCCACTGCTTTGGATGCAGCCTTTTCAAACCCAGGACAGCTGACCCAAAGTGCAGCGGATCACAGCATCTTTGTGGCGAACTCCGTGTCCGTGACGAGCAATGAGGTGGTCCTAGAGGATGAAGAGATAGAGAACTTCTTGCCAGAAACTCAGTGGCCCACCTCCCGCCTGGTTTCCCCAGTGCAGTATGTCACAACTGGCCCGCCAGCGCTGCTGGGAGAAACACGGGACTCCGTGCTGACCCCGTCCTTGCCCGTGGTTTCTTCACAAGAGGAAGAAGTGGCATCAGCCTGGGAAGGCACGGTGCACCAGCCAACGATGTGTGCTGATTCCCCGAGTCACAGTGGCGCTTTCCAGGCGACTTTCCTCCCTGCCAAGGGCATGATTCCAACTCCCAGTAGGAATTTGGTGCTTTATCCTCCTGAGCCTCATGGGCAGTTACCGAGCAGGACTCTGCAGGAGACCGCGGCCTCAGGGACCGAGGGTGCTGCCAGCCTCCTTTTCAGCTCAGCGTCTTCTGTGTCTCGGCCAGGAGGTGACGGCGTCACCCATCAGCCATCTCCCCCCTCGGGGGAGGTCTCATCGCCTCCAGAGGATGTTCTGGCCACAGGTGCGGACAGCTACCCTGAGGGGACCACTGCTTGGAGTCAGAGGCTAGGAGAAGACGTCTCTGCAGGAACAGATTCCACGGCCACCGTATTATCCCAGACAGCCCTTGCTTTTGGAGGTGGTGGCAGCAGCAGCAGCAGCAGCAGCGGCATAAATTCAGCTTTGTCTTCAATTCTCCCTGCGTCTGTGTCCTTTTCTACTCAATCAGCGAATGTTTCCCATAACCCCGTTCTTCCCAGCCACTCCAGGGACGCGTGGGAAGTGCCCGGCAGTTCAGTGGTCCCCGGGCACTCGGGCGGCACCCACGCCTGGAGCCCCGCGACTCCGCCCAGACCATACACGTGGTGCGCGTCCTGCACCCTGGCATCCCCACGGCACGATCTGTCCCCGAGCCTCGTGGAGAAGGACGTGGGGTCGGGGGACGGCGCGGAGACCGTAACCGGGTGGGACGCGAGCAGCAGCGTCTCTCCGCTGAGCAGCGCAGTGGCAGATTTCGCCGAGTTTGAGGAGGAGCCTCAAGACTATGATACACTCTTCCCCTCGAGACCTACGGTCCCGCTGTCTTCTCCGTCTGCGGGGATCTCCAGAACCAGCGCCGGTCTCGCAGCGGAGGTGTCCGGGAGCAGTGCCCCGTCCGCCCCAGCGTCTCCTCCCCCTGGCCGCCTCTCCCTGCCAGCGTCGCTCGACACGGCTTCCTCCGGCCCCATCTCTGTCATCGACACTCAAGGCGCGCCGCCCAGTGTGACAGCCGTGTCTCCCTCGCTCACTGCCGGTGCTCCCCTCGCCTCGTCTTTCTCCATCACGGCACACGCCCCCACGCCCTCACTTGCTCCCGGAGACCCAGCTCCCTTTTCTCCTTACGGTTTGGATCCCTCGGGGGAGGCTTCGTTTTTCCTGGACCGAGAGCCTGCCGGTGTTTCCCGCCACAACACTGGGAGTACGCCGGAGCTGGCCTCGGGCTTTTTCTCCACGCCGCCCCTGGAGGCCAGCCTGGAGGCCAGCCGCACAGGGCCTCTGTCTTCAGGGCTCCCTGTGACTGCGTCTGCGCCTGCGTACGCGTTGGCGTCTGCGCCGGCGTCAGCGTCGGCCTCGGCGTCAGCGTCGGCGTCGGCGTCTCCGACTCCGGGGTCGAGCCTTCTGTCAGCCCTCTTCACCCCTCAGGACTTTTCTGCCCTGGTTGAGCCATTTACGTCCTCCGACTCAACCAGTCTGCAGCCACCTCAGCCTCCTGTTCCTAGTGCCACGAGCCTGGAGTTTTCTCAGCTGTGGCCAAGGTCAGACCTCCTTTTAAATGCATCCACTTTTCTACCCGGAGGCTCGCGACTGTCGCTTCTGTCAAGCCTCCCGTCTGAGTCGCTCACGTTCTCTGGAGCACCAGCGGTTTCGCCGGCAGACTCCGAAGCTCCTGTTACCTCGGCCGGCGCCGCAACTACCTCCGGCTTGGAGTTCCCACTCCCGACCCGGGAGCCCGCAGCCCCAGCCTCGGTGCCCTCCAGTTCGGAGCCCGTCCTTGACCTCTGGACTCCGGGACCTCGCCTGACGTCACTTTGGAGTGCTCTTCCTACAACACCCCCTCTAGTGGAATCATCCCTCTTTCCGACTCCGTCACCTTCTGACGGCGACCTCCGTGCTGCGGGCGCTCCCACGTCTGTCCCGTCCTCTTTCCCCAGAGGCGTTCCCACCGCCACGGTGCTGGTCACGGCCACGGCCACGTCCCCGTTGTCGTCAGCGTCCTCGCTGGGTTCCGAAGCGACCCCGGCCCCCTCGCCCACGGAGCCTCGGTTCGTGGGCCGGTCCTTCTCCCCGACAGAGGCGGCGAGGAACACCACCGCTGTTCCGGGCGCATCCGGTACCAGTGCTGCCCCCTACAGCGCTGTCGGCACCACCATCCCGATCGGCAGCCCCGAGAGCCAGGGTCCCCACGAGAGCAGCGCGGCTCCGCCCTCGCCGTCCCTCCACCCCGTGTCCACCCCCGCGCCCGAAGCCACGGCCACTATTCCAGCGGTGCTCACCACCAGGCCGCCGTACGTGTGCGATGTCACGGTTCCCGATGCCTACTTGATCACGACTGGTAAGGAAGGCGCTGCCTGGCCCTCTCGCGTGGTTGGGGCGGCCTCCCTAGGCGCCGTGTGGAATGCTTATGTGATGTGCAGCTTCGTGGCACAGAACGTAGGCTGGAGAGCCGGAGATCTGCTGGGTTAGTAACTCTCACTCTGCTGATCACCTGTGAGGTCTTCAGACAGGTATGTAGCCTCGCTGAGCCTCGGCCTCCTCCATGATTAAGCGAGGATGATAGTGGCACGCACTTCGATGGGTTGTTGTAAAGATTTAAACACATTGACGCATGGAAAACACTTAACCCACTGCCTGGGGTATGAGGAGCACCCACTGATAGTGCAGAGCAGTTAGCAGTAGCAATAAGAGCAAGTAGAAGATTTAAACAAACCGTAGAAGCTTTTGCTAGGATATGTGTCTGTGGAACTGGTGACCCAGTGGATGCTTAGAAGACACGGTTGAAAGAAACCTGAGTGATCTGCCAGCAAGCAGCATCGTCCCTTGCTGCTGCCTGTCCCCTGAAACCGGAGCCCGTTTCCTGTTAAAGCCTGTGCCAGTGCAGTGACTGGGCCGCTGGACCAGGCTCCCCAGCCTGTTCTTCGTGATAAATGACAGGGCTGCACGAAGTCCTGTGACCTGTGCATGTGTTCATACTCACATGCAGCACCCTGTGGCTGCACAGCCTGGGTCTGTGTGTTGGTTTTGAGGGGGCTGAGGGGTAGACATGAACAGAGGGGGTGAAGATGGCAGGAGAGGCCGAGGAGGCGAGGTGTGGACGAGGAAGGGAGGACAAGGAGAAGCAGAGGTGGGGAAGGAGAAGGAGCGCATGCTTAGTCTTCGTGCTCCATGCCGAGTGGCATGGGCGGTGTGTCCCCTGCTCGAGACTGGGGTGCTGCCACCCTCCCGAGGGCTGGGAGCAGCTGGAGCCTTTGCTTGCTCACCTCCGCCCTCCCCAAGTGGAACAACCATTTGTTAACTCATGGGACCAGTAATTATGGAGCACTGAGTTTGCGTGAAGTGCTGTAAGAAGTTTTATGGGATATAGAGAGTCCTGCAAGGCGTGTGCATTCCAGCAGGGCGGATGCTGAGCCGTGTTTCCCAGCAGCTATGTGGAGAATGGTTGAGGCAGAGTTCTGTAAGAGTGACTGTTTGGGAGGATCAGGGACGGGTTTGGAAGGATGTGAATTGGAGGTCACGTCTAATGAGACTGTCATCTGAAGATGGAGGAAAGTGTCCTCCAGGTTGAGGATGGGGTGGTGGCACAGCCCAAGGGCATTCGACTTGGCTGGTAGCTAGATTGTATAATGGTCGTAGTTAGATTGTATAATGGTCAGAGGTAATTATGCAGGAAAGGAGGTTGGAACTAAGTGGTGACCTTTCACCTTCGGGATTAGAGTAGTCCAGAGGAGAGCTCAGAGTCCTAACAGACATGACACTTTTCTTCCATGCTGCAGAATTGTTACACAGTAGCTACAAAGTGGTCAGTTACAAGGAGCTCATTAAAATAAAACTATCTCTAGAATTCCATGACATTTATGATACTTCTAGTGACAATGTATCTTTTAGAATTCTACAGATAATTAGAAATCATTTAGTAGTATCTCTAAGAATGTCAAATATGTGTCGCTTGGATTAACTTTCATATATGGTATACATTTAATGAACTTGGTGTCCTTTGTTAGGGATCCATGTATTTTAAGGAATATTTTGGGGTAAAGTTCATCCACTCCCACTGTGCACGAACACTTCCACAGTGTCAGTGGGTGTGCAGAGTTGGGCGGAAGTAGTCAGGCTGTCACGTGGTCTCCTTAAGTGGAGAGGAGTGTCATCTTTTGTGCCAGTGATCATTGTGACCCACAGGAAGTATCATCTTATTTAGAATCTTCATTTAGATTTTGACTCTGGGTGGGTTTGTTTGTTTTTTTAAGTTATACATTAGAGAAAGAGAAGGGTTGGGGTGGTTCTTTGTCCTCTGAAAGGGAAGGGTGTTGTGTGGTTTTTTTTCTGGTTTCTGTTTTTAGCTCTCTAATAAAAGTGAGAACACACTCTGTTGAGCCCCGACACACTGTTGGGAAGGCCCTGACCACATGCATCCAGTGTGGGGCGAAGCCGCCCTCCCCACCCTGGGCTGGCCTGACCCTGGCCTTCCTCAGGAGTTCCTTCTCACCTCTCTTGGCTCTGGGGAAACTGTAGATATTTTGAGAAACCATGAAATGTTTGTTTGTTGATGATTCTTCTTTCCCAGCACTCTTAGACCCATATCCCAGTGTTGCAGTGTTAGATCTTACCTTGAGTAATTTGAGAAGGTGGAAGTTACGGTGGTGGGCCGTGGAAGTATTTAGAGTAATACAGCAGGTCCTCGAGTGATGCCATCTCGTTAGGACGTTTATGAGATGCTGAAGGAGCTTGCCTCTTGTGGCAAATGAGAACTCCATGTTCTCTGTGCCCTGGCTGGGCCAGGACAGAGTCTGATTCCCGGTCTCACCCGCCGGGGCAAAGAGTTGAGGGTTTTCGCGGTGTGCTGAGCTGATGCTGAGCGTGGTTGACCTGGTGTCTTCAGTGATCCACTCTGTTCTTTCCTCGTTGGGGCCTTATATACAAAACAGTTTTTGGAGCCGCCACCACACTGGCACTGGCACGGCCCGGGCTCTGCCCTGGGGCCCGGAAGTGTGGTGCCCATGTGATTCACAGCGACACTAACCTGCGTTGGTTTGCAGTGCTGGCCAGGAGAGCCGTGCAGGAGTACATCATCACGTCCATCAAGGAGGTGCTGAGGGTCCACTTCAACCGCGCCGTGGAGCTCAAGGTGGGTTTCCATGGCGAGGAGCCCAGTGGGCGCCCAGGTGAAGGCACGTGACAGTGGTCATGAAACGCTGTTTCCCTCCCCCATTTCCACCCTCCCCCCAGTGAATGCCTGCTCACCCTTTGGGTCTCTACTCCAGTGTCACGGGGTCAGGGGAGCCCTTCCTGACCACAGGTGGGGTCAGGGTTAGTCCGTTGGAGGGCTGAGTCGGGCTGAAGGGGCTGCAAGGCCAGAGTTTGGGGTGACAGCCCAAAGGGTCGTGCTTCTCTTGATTTACATGAAAGGGCTTGGATTTGAGTTTAAATTAGGTCTTAGAGAGAGTGCATGCTTCTGTACGTTCAGTGAGACAGAGACACATTTTCCAGTGTTTCTGGCGGGCACTGTGCTAAGGCCTCCCCTCCCCCGATAAGCTCGGCAGCCACGCTGGGGACCCCGCACTTCCCAACGGGAGCCACGGGCCACGTGTGGCTGCTGCACGTGCAAAATGGGGCTCGTCTGAATTGAGGTGGGCTGTCAGTGCCACACACACACTGGATTTTAAAGACTTAGTGGGACAAGGGATGTCAGGCAATTTGCATTGAAACGATATGTCACATATATTGGGTTAAGTAAAATGTCCTTAAAGTTAATTTCATCTGTTTCTTTTTATGTGTTTTTTTTTAAAAATGTGGGTGCTAGAAATTTTATAATTGCATATGTGGCTCACCTGTTTCTTTTGGAAAACATTGCTCAATAGAAGAACTATTTTTTCTATGTGGGTTAAATACAGCAAACGCATTGAATTCTCCGTAACTCCTTATTTAGTTCTTTCTCACTATCCTCGCTCTGGTAATTTCTTGCTGTTTTAGGGAAGGAGAGCAGATGTGTAAAAGTAATGACTCAAATAAACTTTTGACGGTCTGCGAAGCCCTAGCCCTCCATTTAAAACTAGCTATTTATTTTTTTTTACCTCATTATTTTTCTACTCAATCCGGCTTCCTGTCTCTGGGTTGATGGTAACTTTATTTGATAACTATCACCTCTTGTCTTGTTTGTTTTCGTAGGTGTATGAACTGTTCGCCGACTTCACTTTCCTGGTCACATCTGGCCCCTTTGTCTACACGGCCATCTCCGTCATCAACGTGCTCATAAACAGCAAACTCGTGCGCGACCAGACGCCTCTAATCCTGGCCGTGAGGCCGTTCCTTCTTGCGCCGGAGTCCAGGTTCCAGGTTCAGACAGGTGAGGTCACCGGCCACGGTGGTTTTGACTTGTAAACAGAATCTCACTTTACTTTTTTAAAAAATATTTTTAAAAAATTTGGCGAGGGTTTGGAAAAACCTTATTTAAATTTTCAAAAGCAGGCTAACTGTGAAAAATTGCCGGCGTAGACGAAAGTACACAGGACAGTTCAATGAACCCCCTGGTCCTGTCATATGGTTTCAGTAATTTTCAGCGCCCTGTTCCATCTACACCCCCATCTACCTTCCCTCCTCTCACATTATTATTTTTTTTTTTGTTTTTCATTAAATGTATTGGGGTGACATTGTTTAATAAGTATACAGGTGTCAAGTGTGCATTTCTATGCTGCATCTCCTGTACGTTGTGTTGTGTGCCCACCACCTGGAGTCAGGCCATTTTCCATGTATTTGACCCCTGTTCCCCGATCCTGCTCCGCACCCCCGCCCTCCCTCCGATTACCGCCACACTGCTGTCTGTGAGTTTTTGTTTGTTCTCGTTCGTTCATTGGTTGCTTTCAGCTGTATATCCATACGTGGTTCTCGAGTGTTTCTGTCGGACTTATTTCTGAAACACTGCCATTTGCCACAACGTGGATCGATCTTGAAAGTATCTCACATTATGTGAATATTTATGAATATTTATATTCATAAATATTTCAGCCTATGTCTCTGAAAGAAGGGTTATTAAACAAACACACAGATACATGTACATACACTCATACATGTATCCATACATAAATATGTATCTATCATTAGTAGATATCATTATCACACTCCCTGAAATTCACAGCTATTTCTTCTACCATATTTAACTTTTTAGTTGGGACATTTTTCAAATGTACAAACGTAGGGAGAGTAACGTATTCAGCCCACATATGCCTGTCACTAAGCTTTAAAAAATTATCAACGTTTTCCCAATTTTGTTTCGTCTCTTCCCTACACATTTTTTTGAGGAAGCTAGAGTGTTTTAAAGAAATGCCAGATACCATGTCATTTCACCCACAAATACTTCAGAATTCAAATCTAATTAATTCAAACATATTTGAAATGTTTCAGTCAGTTAAGTGTTTTCCCACTTAAAAATGATAACATCGCCTTCAGCTTGCGTATCTTCCTTTGGTGCAGAGATGGCGCTCTGCGTTTTCATGATAGATACGTGAAAAATAACACGTCCTGGGACTTAATCCTGCTTAGGGACGAACTGGTTGATTTGGACACTCTCTCTGCCTCTCCGTGTTCCTCGGTGCTGAAGGAGCGCCCGGCTCACGGGCCTGTGGTTGCCGTCTCTCTTGCAGTCCTGCAGTTTGTGCCCCAGAGCGTGGACACCGGCTTCTGCAACTTCACCCAGCGCATCGAGAAGGGCCTGCTGATCGCGCTCTCCGAAGTGAGGAAACACCACCTGGGCACGTACAACTTCACAGTGCAGGTGAGGAGAGCGCCGAAGGCAGGGCAGGATGCTTTAGCCTTTAGCCTATGCAACGAGGAACTCGTTTCATAACGTTTCACTGAAGATGCACTTAACTCTTGCTAATTCCCTCCAGTGGAGACTGTTCTGTTCACAGGGGTCAGGGTGGCCCTCCTTCCATGGCCTCAGAGCGGATGAGCAAGGAGCTCAGCTGTGGTGCTCGGAGGGGAGGTGAGCGTATACAGGAAGCTCAGGAAGGTGCTAAAAAGGAATTGTATTGATTTGTAGATATCCAGTGGGGGAAATGCATAAATACACCAGTTTGCATGTTGCAGAATACCATGCAAGGCAGTGCTTCACTCTGAAAACAGGGAATGTAGCTGCTTGTCAGAGACCAGGCTTTGTATGTATCGCATGGAAACTGGTGATGTTTTTCTATTTCTTTGAGATCTTTTCCTCCATATTCTTTGCTTTCTTTTTCTGGAATTTATGTTAAGTAGGTTTTGGTGCTCTTGGATTCACTTATATTTCTTATTTTTCTTATATATTTTTAAATCTCCTTTAAAATTCCCTGCTTTTACAAATTTTCTAAACTTTGTCTTCCAAGTCATTAACTTACTCTTCAACTGTGTTTATTGTGTTACTCAACCCCTCTATTGGATTTTTGTGTTAGCCATCTCTTTTTCACTATTCTTTGCTCCTTTTTTATTGTAGCCTCTCCTGCAACAATGCAGGATTATCTTGCATGAGGATGTAATAGCACCTTGAAAGTCTCTGAGGACATGAGGGTTTTTTAAAAGTTGTCTCTGTTCCCTGTGTTGATCTTCGTCCTTTTATTTAAAAAACCCACATTATTCAAAGAACACTATTACATATTTTTTAAACCTCACTGAAGGATATGTTTATGATTTTAGAGAGAGAAAGGGAAAAGGGAAGGAACTAAGGAGGGAAAGAAAGGGAGAGAGAGAGAGTTAGAGAGGGAGAGAGAGAAACATCGATCGGTTGCCTCCTGTACACACCTCGACTGGGGACCAGAGCCATAGCGTAGGTGTGCACCCTGATCCTGGAATCGAACCGTCAACCTTTTGGTGCACATGATGAAGCTCCAACCAACTGAGCCACCCGGTGTTAGTCGTCTGCAAGTTCCTGGAGACTGATGGTTGATTGAGGTTAGGAATGAAGGAGCAAGTGGTTAATTTGGCAGCTCTTTCGGCTTCCGCCTTCAACTGTTCAGTCTGTTTCTATGTCAGCCCTGTGCCCTGATGGGAGATCCAGTGGGGCCCTGGGCACAGGGCACGGGGCACTGGGCTGTGGCTGTGGCTGGTCAGGGATAGACAGACCGGGACCCCTGCCCCCAAGCAAGATCAGGAGGCCGTGCCCTGGGATGGAGCGCGTGAGTGTGTTTTTCGGGCAGAGCCGCCTTTTGTTTCATTTTCTCTCCTTTTTGTCTCTTGTGAGCAGTCCCCGCCCACCTCCTTGCTTAGGGGCCTACCCTGCAGTGCGTCTCTTGGTCCTGGGCAAGGAGCTCATCGTCCTCAGGGAGCAGTGCCTTGGCTGTTCTGGGTGGAGATGTGGCTGCTGTTGGTGCCTCTGCTGCGTGGGCCTGGGCGTGGCAGTCAGAGAGGAAAGAGGAGGGAGGAAACTGACTCGGCTCCTTGGCATGCAGCCTTGAATTAATCGTGGCAGCGACTCTCGGTGCCTGTGGATCTGCCTGTGGAGCCCGCCCTGGCCCTGCGGCCCCGGGGCCCCCCGGGAGAACGACTCTCGGCTCCACGGGCATCTGTGTCTGTGTGTGCTGGGGCTCGTCCCTCTGTTCTGGTTTCCATCAACGTGATTCCCGCCTCTCTCCATTTCCCAGGAATTTGACAGCATCTCAGGTTTTCTCCCACTCTCAGCGCTGCTGTGGACTTACTCCTTTGTGTTCAGGCTCATTGTTATGTCTGCGGGATTTGGGATGAAAGGGGGAGGGACAGTGGACACACGTGCTCGGTTCGTCACTTACTGTGCCAACATACTTGTTCACCACGAGGACTGACAGTACTGCAAAAGGGAAGCAGGCCATTGATGCCCGTCACCCTTCCATTAAAAATGTTCCCCCAGCGAGGGAAGCTGTGAGAGAGAAACCAGCGTCAGGCTCTTCGCAGGAGGTTTTTGTGCATTTTAGAAGCTGACCGAGACTTCCTCCTTTCAGATCTTGAATGTTACCGTGGGCTCTTCGAGGGTGGCTCCTCGCCGGGGCCCAGTGAACATCGTCTTTGCCGTCAAGAGCGCGCAGGGGTTTTGGAACGGGACCCAAGTGAGTGCGCTGCTGCGGAACCTGAGCGTGGTGGAGTTCAGCTTCTACCTGGGCTACCCGGTGCTCCAGATCGCCGAGCGTGAGTACCGCTGTCCCGGACGGCGCGGGGATGCGGCCCTGAGCGCTTTTGTCGGTGTCCCTCTTTTTCCCAAGGGACAGATTTAGCTGAAATCAGAATGTAAGTCAGGTAAAAATTGGAGCTTCCCAGAGGTAAGCCAGGGTGGGCCTCCGGAGCCCTCCCCACCCACAGCGCTCTGTTCCTAGGGAAGGGGCGCTGTGAAAGGTGAGACCGGTTCTGGAAAAGGCGAAACCAGAGGGCGGAGAGCAGCCCTGTGGGTGCCAGAGGAGAAGGGCGGGAGGAAAGCTGGACCCCGGAAGGGCAGCAGAGGGCAATTCAGGGAGGTGATGAGCCTCTTCTGTACCTGTACCGTGGTGCTGGTTTCACAATGCCGTGCATTTGTCAAAACCCACAAAACTGGAACCCCCAAAAGAGTGAGTTTTATTTCGTGTACAATTAAAAAAAAGAATAATACACGAAGACAAAACTTTTCTGCCTGGGAATTAGATTCGTAGTGCAAAGGGAGTGGGGTGAGGGTGGGAGAAACGTTTCCTTCAAAACCAAAAACAAAACCAGCAGATTCCAGAGTTGAAATCAAGCCACAAAAACAAAAATAAATAAATAAAATTTAAAAAATAAAATAATTAAGATGGAATAGTCAGATGATTCTTAATGTATTCAGTGTACGGCTAATTACATGAAAAAGAATAACTTGTCAAATGTTGCCATCGACCGGAATAAAATCGTTCTTTACATCGGGCAGCGGTCAGTAATGCACGTGAGGAGATGGATAAAATAGGTGGCTAGACAACAGGTGTGTACCAGGACTGTCCCACGCAAACCAGGACATCGGGTCACTTGGCCCTGAGTCACTGCTGGGAAATCCGGAGGCTCTTTGAGGACACAGTGTGAAAACTCATTGCTCCGGAACAGTGACTTTTCCAAAGGAACGTGGGGTGGTTCTGCGAAGCAGCGTCCCACCAAGTCGCTTGAGCAAGGCCGCCCTCCCCCCTCGCTCTTCCTCCCTCCCTCTCTCCCTCCCTTCCTCCCTCCCTCTTCCCCCCCCACCCCGGGACGCCCATGCTCAGAGACTGCTCACTGTTGATACCTTCACTGTAATTGGATTTTCTTCTTCCGTGTTCAGTGCTGAGTCATACAGGAGAGGCAATGTCTCGTGACTTACCCGCTGTTTCCTAGAACTCTTTCCTTCCGAGTGTTGCAAACATGTTTTTTACCGACCTGTTCTCCCCCAACCCTTTCCTTCTTCTAGCCTTCCAGTACCCGCAGCTCAACCTGTCTCAGCTGCTGAAGTCGTCCTGGGTAAGGACAGGTGCGTTGACCTTACGTCATGTTTCGGGAACGGTGAGAATAAGGAGTCCGTGCGGGCGTTACTGAGAAGGATGCCGCCTTTCCTGTTTCTCAGTCCTAAATTCAGGGCAAAGTGCACCTCAAATTCCTGGCGAAGGAGGGAGGAGGAAGGGACTCCGACTTGGCTGTGGGGATGCGTCCCACTGAGCTGTGGCACAAGAAGTGTTGGCCTTCTCTCAGATTCATGCCTCACGTCCAGGGCCGTCGGACAGGCACTGACCGTGGCCCCACCTAGAGTGGCATGAGGCTCTGAAGCAAGGCTTACTCTCTCTCTCTTTTTCTAAAAGTCTTGTTTGTTTGCTTTTATGTAAGGACAAGAAAGGTAACTCGGTGAGCAAATTTTTAGAGTCTCGTCGGCCTGGGTCAGATATTTACAGCTGTGGCATGCATCGCCACCGCAGACTCTCACCCAGTGCCCGCAAGTGTGAGAGGCAGTAACGTACTCCCCTGTGCCCAGCATGTGGGCAGCGCAGTGGAGCCGGTCACGGGGAGGGAGGACTCGGAGTGGCGACAGTCCCCATTCCCGAGTTCCCGCACCCTGCGAGGCCCCCTTTGCTTCCCCTGCGGCATTCCACGTAAAGGCCTCACCCCTTTGCGAGGTGCCCTGGCCTCATTTTCCAGATAGTTTTCATAGCAGTTGAGTGACGTGCCCGCGGTCCTGTCTCAGAGGGATGCGAGCCAGTGCTGGCTGGAAGGGAAATCTGGCAGATGGTCTGCTGAGATAATCTTGTTTACAGCAGACGCCTGAAGACAGGCACCTTATCTGGAGTCAGTTCATGAATCGAGATAAGATGCGAACTTAAGCCGGTTCCAGAAATTTTGGAATACAGTGCAGACCAAGTGTTTGATCCTGTGTAGGCCCTCTCAGCCCCAAAGCGCTGGCCTTGCTGGCTTTCTGGGACTTCTGGCCACCCGTCTTTGCAACAAGTGGGGCCTGGAACTGTAGATGAGACTCCTGAGCCGCCCTTCCTGGTCGCCCTCGCTCCCCCTCCCCCCTTCACATCTCCTCTCCGGGGCAGCGATGTCCAGCCTGTGTTGCACAAGAATCTGTAGGACGTGTAACACCCAACTGTTGAGTCAGGGGTGCTGACCTCTTTTCCCTTAGCTTGTCAAATAAAAAAAATGGCAAAAGCCAATACAACAGTAGCCGTCCAGTGTGAATGAATCAAAATTACACCTATTTTTTTTTTGGTCAGATGGACAAAAAATAGCATCCATTTTTTGGTGTGCTGCAGAAGTTTAGTAATTAGTTTATGTGCGCCAAGAGGTGAAAAGGGTTGAAAATTGCTGCTCTGGAGATTGGCATTTTATGGTAACCCCGTGTTAATTTCTCTCCTCCACGCACTCTTTTATTTTTTTCTCCACCGCTAACTCATTTTGGGCTCTATGTGTGTTTCCCTGGAAATGCAGTCCTCCTGGGGGTTGTCGAGAAGCAGCTTCAGAACGAAGTGTTCCAAGCCGAGATGGAGCGCAAACTGGCCCAGCTGCTGGGCGAGGTTTCCAGCCGAAGGCGGATGTGGAGAAGGGCCACCGTCGCCGCGGGCAACAGTGTGGTGCAGGTAGGTACCCGTGGAGGCTGGAGGAGGAGGAAAGGAGAGAGAGCAGACGGAAGTCATGCCACATGTTCATGCAAATGGGAAAGGCCACGAGAACCTTCTGATTCAGAGGGGTTGCCGTCTTAGGGGGTGACCCCATGTGGCAGTGTTTCAGTTCGACTGTAATCTAGACAAATATTCCTGAGTCCTCGGTAAGGGGTCAGTGCGGGAATGGGTCTTGCGGGGAGCACAGCGAGCCGATTGTGCCAGCGGGTTGCCAGGCCGTGGGATGGCCTCATTCTTCAAAAAGTAATTTTTTAAAACGCAAAATGTGGTTGATGATGGAGTGGTAGTGTTCCTGAGAGTATCACAGGGATGTATCGTCCCGCTGGAAGAGACTTTAAGAAATCAGAAGGAGGAATATTTCCTGCCCTCTGTTCGAGCGGCTCATCCTGCACGCCTTCTGCTGCCCCTGCTTGTCTCACGTTACCCCGAACACCCATCCCCTCTATAAAGTAGCAGAAAAGTTACAGATGACAGATGCGTTTTAGTGGGAAAGTGACCCGTTTTAAATGCACACAGGCATTTAAATGCACATAGGTGCACAGTGAGCTGGAGGTTGGGCTGTGATTTATTCCCATCTCAGTGTGCATGAATGTGATTTTGGATTTTTCCCCTCACCCATTGCTGGCTCATAGAGCTGAGAAAGTGGGATAGTGTTGCCGGGTGTTCCAGAGACAGGAGGCTTGGGGAAACCGGAAGTCCGGGGGTGGGCGGTTGGTGGTGCAGGGGCGTTGGAGAGAAGAAGGCAGAGCTGACCCTGGGGAGGGGCAGGGTGGCAGTGGGCCCAGGGCTGGTGTCATCGTCCCCAAGTCTCTGACCAGTTTCCCCTGCGAGTACTGCTCTCTCTCTCTCCCCTCCCGCAGAGGTGCTGGTTAGGTTCCTAAAGCAGTTTCTTTGCCAGATGCAATAGAGTATAGAGAAATTAAAAAACTTAATAGAAGGTTGAGAGTAATATTAGTATAAATAGAAAACAGATATATATATATATACTTATATAAATGTAAAACAAAGAACAATGAAAATGAATGATAAAAGCTTGGCTGTATTCAGTAACCCTGGATTCATAGAGCTCAAGGTCTGGGTGGAGGTTAATAAACGCACATAAAACAGTTATAAAGCACCATCAGATGACAGAGGAGGTGCTGGATTAAATAGGAAAGTTCCCTAAGGTGCGAATATTGGATGTATGAAAGCTAACTCAGCCGCCCCTCAGGAACAGTGCTGTCTCATGGGTTGCTTAGTAACCGCGGCCTGCTTCTCCTGTGCGCTGGGGTGGCCAGATGTGACGATGGAGACAAGAAATCACGTATGGGGCACGGGACTCGTTAGCGACATGATTTGTAAAAGTGAAAGTATTCAAACAACCTAAATGCCCAGCAGTGGGGGGATAGGTACAAAAACTGTCGTGAGTTCTTACATGTTGGAATATTGGACCGCCATGATCATTTTTTGAATTAGGGAGTGAGGGAAAATCTTAACTGAAGAGAGACTGTATAAGAATGTATGCAAAATAACCCAACTATTAATACAAAACTCATGAAAAAATTAATGGGAGGAAATATGCCACAATATTTACGGGGATTATCTTTGGCTGGTTGAATTTGAGGTGATTCCATTTTATCCTTCCTACATTCTTCTTCGTGCTTTTCAAAATTTCTCCAGTGAACATGCAATTTCTTGAGCAAATGTGTGATTTTAATCAGAAAATAATGTTTAAAGTGAAGTTGAAAACATTGCCTGGAAGGATGGCTCCCTCCCTCCCACTGTGGGAGCGTGGATTCCAGACACGAGTCTGAGAAGAAGTCACCCACCCAGAAGGGATGCTGATGTTAGGTCTGGCTGCTGCTTTCCGGTTGGACAGGCACGTAGAATCTTCAGTTGAGCCGGGCGTCCCTGGAAAGGGGAAGTATGGCTTCTGCCAGGGAAAACCATTTCTGAAATTTACCAGAACATTTCAATGGAATAAATAGTCATGCAGGTAGAGGGACAGATGGGTGTAATCTACTTGCTTTTTGGGAGCCCCTTGTTAGTATTAATTCTAAAGGCTAATAAAAAATTATTACAGCGCAGTTTGCGGGGGAGGGAGTAGGTGGTTAGGAAACAGAAGTGGTCAGGGAGCTGGCCTAGAGACACCAGACAAGGGCAGGCCGGATACGAGACCGCCGCAGGATGGGGAGGTGTAAAGAAGTTTCTCCAGGGACGAGGGTTTGGGCCTGTGTTGTTAAGGGTCTTTGTACGTGGTGTGGAAGAAGGCATTCACAGTGAAGTCTTGAAACTGTTGATATGCCGGAAGTTTCCGGTGGTGAAGGAGCCCAGCGGCCGTGTCTGTGGGGTGCAGAACGGTGTTGCGATTCTGTACAGGTGGCTAGAGAAGTGGCAGCTCTTTGGCTAATGGCAAGTGTAGGGGCCAAAGCTTCAAACCGTGTGTGTGAAGTAGAGGCCTCAAGAGTGATTGTCGATCATTTACTGAGAACGTCAGCCAACAGTCTGCTGGAGTCTGCAGGCGCAGTAAAACTGTTGCACGTCAGTCAGAGAAATAGCAACATAATAAAAAGCTCTACAGAAAACTGTGATGTATCAAATGCACTAGATTCTGAAGCACTGATGCAAAGGTGTACCCTGAACACCGGAGAGAGAGAAATGTTGGAACAAATCAAAGTACTATTTGATCCAGTGGATTGAATTTATGAGATTTTTTTCCAGCTTCATTGAGATATAATTGACAGATGACAATGTGTCAAGTTTAAGGTGTACAGTGTGATGACGTGATATAAGTGTGCGAGGTCTGTCCGGAAAAAGTGCAGCCATTGTTAATATAATGAGAGCGGTTTGTGGGCAATGTGACCTGGCAGTCGAGGAGAGTGGACTGGAATGCTCATGTGTGAACAATGACGACCTCACTGTACTAGTCAGTGAGTGCGGTAGATGCCCTTGAGTGAATATGTGTACTGTGTGGCCTTTGCATTCAAAATGACCGAGCAAGTATAGCAACAGATCTGTGTCAAATTTTGTGTTAAGCTTGAACTTTCCTCCATGGAAACTATTCAGATGATTCAGAAGGCTGCAGCTATAGGCAGCTGAAAGTTGGCAGCTTCATCACAACAGTGCACCTGCTCATGCATCACATCTCTTGCAGATTTTTTTGTGAACCATCAAATCACCCAGGTGACTACCCCCTTCAGCCCAGATTCAGGGCCGTGTGACTTCTGGCTTCTCCCAAAACTAAAATCACCTTTGAAAGGGGAAGAGATTTCAGACTGTTGATGAGACTCAGGAAGATACAGCAGGACAGCTGATGGCGATTGGGAGAACTCTGTGAGGTCTCAGGGTCCCACTTTGAAGGGGACTGAGGTGTCATTGCCCTATGTACAGTGTTTCTTGTACCTTGTATCTCCTTCAATGAATGTCTCTATTTTTCATATCACATGGCTGGATACCTTCTGGACAGACCTTGTAGACTGTGACATGATTACCACAATAAGGTTAGTTAGCACACCATTGCTCACAGTTAGTTTGGCATGTGTGTGTGGTGAGAACTTTTAAGATGTTCTCTTAGCATCTTTCAGGTGTACAGTGTGTTGTTCCTGACTGTGTACACTGCGCTGTATGTTAGATCCCTGGACTTAACGACTGCAAGTTTCTGCCCTTGGACAACCTCTACCCGTTTCTCCTTCACCTGGCTTTTGGCAATCATCAATCTGCTCTCTGTTTCTATGAGTGTTTAAGATTCCACATGGAGGTGAGATCATCCAGTATGATCTCTGACTTCTTTCACTTCGTAGAATGCTCTTATGGTCCATCCATGTTGTTACAAATGGCAGGATTTTCCTCTTCATTTTTGTTGGTGACTCGCATTCCATTGTGTGTATGCAACTACATCTCCTTCATCCACCCACCCACCCACCCACCCACAGGTGGGCATGTGGATTTGTGTCGTGCCTTGGCACCAGTGCTGCAGAGGGCCTGCGGATGCAGATCTCTCTCCAAGATAGTGAGTTCATTTCCTTGGAATGCATACCCAGGAGTGTCATTGTTGCATCAGATGGTAGTTCTATTTTTAGCTTTCAGAGGAAGCTTCACGCTGTTCTCCGTAATGGCTGTACCAATTTATATTCCCACCAACAGTGCACAAGGATTCCATTTTTTTCCACAACCTCTCCAGCACTTACCTCTTGTGTTTTGATATTAGCTATTGTAACAGGTATGAGGTGATATCTCATTGTGATTTTGATGTGCATTTTTTTTATGATTAAGGTGTTGAACACCTTCTTTTCACATGCCTGTTGGCATTTGTATATCTTCTTTGGAAAAATGTCTATATATTTTTTGCTATTGAGATGCATGAGCTCCTTGTGTATTTTGGATATTAAACTGTTATCAGAGATATGATTTGCAAAGATTTTCTCACATTCCATAGCTTGCCTTTTCATTTTTTAAAAAATATTTATTTTTATTTTTAGAGAGGGAAGGGAGGGAGATAGAGAGAGAAACATCAATGTGCTGTTGCTGGAGGTTATGACCTGCAACCCAGGCATATACCCTGGCTGGGAATCGAACCTGCGACACTTTAGTTTGCAGCCCGCACTCAATCCACTGAGCTACGCCAGCCAGGGCTCCTTTTCATTTTTGTTGGTTCTTTTGCTGTGCAGAAACTTTTTAGTTTGAAGTAGTTCCACTTGTTTATTTTTGCTTTTGTTGCTTGTGATTTGGGTCTCCTCCCTAAAAAATCTTTACTAAGACCAATGTCAAGGAGCTTTTTTTCCCTATGTCGTCCTCAGGGAGTTTTATGGTTTTAGGTCTTACGTTTAAGTCTGTCCATTCGGAACTAACTTTGTGAGTGGTCCAGTTTTGTTCTTTTGCGTGTGACTGTCCAGTTTTCCCAACACTGTTAATGAAGAGACTGTCCTTTCCACACTGAGTATTCTTGGCTCCTTTGTCAGCAGGGTCTTTTGTGGTTCCTTATAAATTTTAGGATTGTTTTTTGCTATTTCTGTAAAAAATCCCATTGGAATTTTGGTAGGGATAGCATTGAATCTATAGGTGGCTTTGGATAATATGGGCATTTTAACAATATTAATTCTTCCGTACTGTGAGCACGGGATATATTTCCATTTATTTGTGTCTTCTTCAATTACCAATGTCTCACAATATTTAGTGTACAGATTTTTCACTTTCTTTGTTAAATTTATTCCTAAGTATTTTATTGTTTTTGATGCTATTGTGAATGGCATTGTTTTCTTTATTTCTTTCCTGATAGTTCATTGTTAGTTTATAGAAACACAACTGATTTTATTGTGTTGATTTTGTGTTCTGCAAATTTACAAATTCACTTATTCCAATATTTTTTTTGGTGGAGTCTGTAGGGTTTTTTTTTATATATAATATCATGTCATGTGTAAGCAAAGACAGTTTTATTCTTCCTTTCTGATTTGGGTGCCTTTTATTTCTTTTTCGTGCCTGATTACCTTTTATTTTTTTTTCTTGCCTGATTGCTGTGGCTTCCAGTGCTGTGTTGAATGGGAGTGGTGAGAGGAAACACTTTTGTCTTGTTCCTGATCCTGGTGGAAAAGCTTTCAGCCTTTCATCACTGAGTATTATGTTAGCTGTGGGTTTGTCATATACGGCCTTTGCTACCTTGAGGTATCGTCTTTCTGTACTCAGTTTGTTGAGGGTTTTTATTATGAATGAATGTTGAATTTTGTCCCATGCTTTTTCTGCATCTATTGGATGGTCTTATGATTCTTTTATTAATGTGGTGTATCTCACTTATTGATTTGCATATGTGGACCCAACCTATCCTTGCATCCAGGGATGAAGCCCACTTAATCATGGTGTAGGACCCTTTACATGTGCTGTCAAATTGGTTTGCTAGTATTTCATTGAGAAATTTTGCATCTGTGTTCATCAGAGATAATGGTTTGCAGTTTACTTTTTTTATAGTGCCCTTACCAGGCTTTGGTGCAGGATAGTGCTGGTCTTATAAAACGAGTTGGGGAGCATTCCTTCCTTAGCTGTTGGGAAATTTTGAGCACAATTGGCATTACCTCTTTTTCAGAAGTTTGGTAGAATTCATCAGTGAAACTATCTGGGCCTGGGCTTTTCTTTGGGGGGAATTTTTTTTAATTACTGATTTAATCTCCTTATTCATTACTTGTCTGTTCAGATTTTCTATTTCTTTATGATTCCATTTTGGTGGGTTGTGTGGTTCTAGGACTGAATCCATTTCTTCTAGGTTGTCTAATTTGTTGGTGAATAATTATTTGTAGTAGTCCCTTTTGATCCTTTCTATTTCTTTGGTATCTGTTATAATGTCTTCTCTGTCATTTACAATTTTTTGAGAACTCACACTTTTTCATGGTTAATGTAGCTAAAGTTTTCTTCATTTTGTTTATCTTTTCAAAGAATCAACATTTATTTTGTTCACCTCTTCTGTTGTTTTCCTAGTCTCTATTTCACTTATTTCTGCTCTAATATTTATTATTTCCTCCTCTTTATTAACTTTGTGCTTAGTTTTTTCTTTTCCTAGTTCCTTGAGGTGTCAATTAGATTGTTTATTTGAGATCTTTCTTTTTTCTTGGTGTATGTGTTTGTAGCTGTGAACTTTCTGCTTGTAACTTTTTACTGTGTATCATAAGATTTTGGTATCTTGTGTTTCCATTTTCATTTAAGATTTTTTAGATTTTTCTTCTGATTTCTTTGGTGCATTGGTTATTGCAGGAGTGCGTTGTTTAATTTCCATGTATTTTTTAATCTTCCAGCTTTCCTTTTGTTATTGGTTCTAGTTTCACACTACGGTGTCTGGAATAGTCACGTGACAAAATGTCTGTGTTCTTGAATGTATTGAGACTGTTTTGGTGGCCTCACATACGGTCTATCCTAGAAAAGGTACTGTGTGCCTTTAAGAAGAATGTGTATTCTGCTCTTGGATGGAATGTTCTGCATGTGTCTTTTAGGCCTCCAGTGTTGTTAAAATCTGCTATTTCCTTACTGATTCTTTCTCTGAATGGTCTACCCATTATTGAGGGGGTATTAAAGAATTTAAGAGATGTATTGTGCCAAGAGCAGTGGTTCTCAACTAGGGGTGATTTTGTCCCCCCAGGGTACATTTTGTCACTGTCCGGAGACATCCCGCTTGTCACAGCTGGTTGGAGTGGTGGGGTGGCCACGACTGTTGCTAGTGGCATCTAGCAAATAGAGGGCAGGATGCTTCTAAGCATCTTACAATGCTCTAAGAACATCTAAGAACTATCTGGACCGAAACGGCAATAGTACCACGGTTGAGAAACCGTGCCCCAGATGAACAGGGAGAAAACACTGATAGATTTGAGCGGGGATTGGATCAAACTGTTAGTAGCTTCAGATGACCAGGGGCGCACCTAACCTTTGCGGCGGGTGTTATGCAGGCAGCAGCATCCTCCCGTGCCATCCTGGGGCTTCTCGGCAGCAAGTCTAGATTCCAGGACGTGGCAACCCTGTGGTCTGTGTGTCCTGAGGGCCCTTGTCTCAGAGAAGACTTTGAGCAAGACCAAGTTCATTCGTCATTCTGCATGGAGGAACTTTCGTTGTGACTGTCCCTCTTCCCGTCAAGCGAGCATCGTGGGGATTCTGGACCCTGGGATCGTGTAGGGAGTGTATTAGGGGGACTGGAATAGATCCCAAGTAACACAGTCAAGGCCGAGTGCCCAGAGAGAGGGCATCTGGAAGCACGAGCCTCTAAAATGCTAACGGTGTCTGTCTGTCGTCTTTCAGGTGGTGAACGTGTCGAGGCTGGAGGGGGACGACAACCCCGTGCAGCTCATCTACTTCGTGGAAGATCAGGATGGAGAGAGACTGAGTGCGGTCCGGTCTTCAGACCTGATTAACAAGATCGACATCCAGAGAGCAGCCATTATCTTGGGTTACCGAATTCAAGGCGCTGTAGCCCAACGTGAGTGCCTGGGGCTTGGCCTCGGGGGCGGGGTGGGGGCGGAGCAGGGGTCACCTGTGCTGTGCTGGGGTCAGCCACCAGTCTTGTTCTGGACCCTGAACTCTGAATCTAAAGCATTCTTATGTGGGTGTAGTAGATGTGCGTCTTAAGCCCATATCATTAAGTGGCGCTTATGTAAGATGTCAGTTGTTAAAAGTTGCTGGAAAACACTTTTATTTCAATTGCTTGCGGTTATAGGCTTCACTGCTGTTTTTCCCACCTGGTGTTTTGTGTTCGTAGCATTCTGGTGAGTTATAGTAGCTCCAGTTAACATTAATATTTTTTTTTCCCTGCTCCTGTCCTGTCTTAGGTAAAATACTGTGTTTTCTCTGTATTTCTTCCAAAACCTTGTATGTCATATTCTGAACATGGGTGGGGACAGTGAGTCACACAGGAAGCGGGGAGGTGCCCTCTGTGTGTATTGGCTTCCTCCTGGGCCTTTCAGCACAAAGAAGTCCTTGATCCTGACCCTTTGCAGTCCTGTTTCTCTCCCACCCAGGCCTCAGCCACTCCACAGTCCAGAAAGAGGTGTCTGGGTATTTCTTTATTATTTTTGGAAGATCCTAGGCCCCTGCCCACCCTGGCACTGGCTGATCTCAGTGCGTTTTTTCCCAACTCACAGATTTTGGGTGTTTAAAACTGAGAAAAGGAGAGGCATGGAAGAGTGTATTTCTCTAAATATACCTTCGTGAATCAGACTGCTATTTTAATGTGACTGTTTTTCCTTTATGATTCTGAGAGCAACCCTTGTCAAAGCCCAGGGACACTTGCTCCCAACAGTACAGGGTAAGTAAATGTGTAGACGAAGTTCAGCATCAGAGGATGCTGAAAAACCGCAGTGAACGTGTAAGGCGATCGAGGCCATGTTACAGAAGGACAGCTTCGAAAGTGTCCTTGGCAGTGGGGGAGGCTGGTGGAATCTACAGTTGTCCCTGCAGACCGCCCCGGAGGAGGGCTGATGGGCACGCTTGCTCCACTTTGTAGCAGAGGGTGCTGGGAGACCTGAAGCAAATAACCACCGGCCGAGGGTTCCCGTGATCGCACGTTGGTGTGTTCTGCTGCAGAGCAGCGAGAACAGAATAAAGCGTGTCCCTCCCTTCTTTCCTGCATCACCTTCCTGGTTGCTGGAGAGGTGAAGCTCCACTCCCGCGAAGCACTTCACCTTTTAAAAAGGTGCATGGCCACCGGTATGGGCACCTTCCAAGCCCACTTCCGTCTGCTCCTTGCCCTTCCCTTTCCTCCGCTTCGTGCTAAAAACCACAGAGTAACAGTCCGGGGATGGGAGCCCCAGCCCAAGGCCGGGAGCAGCCCGAGACAGCTGCAGTCCCGGTGCCAGGACCTCGTCCAGTTGTCCCCGCCCTGCAGGGTGCTTCTGTCCCTCCCACATTGTTAGTTGTCTCCGTGCAAAATGAACTATATTTAGGCCAGACTGAAAAATACAGATTGTTATCACGGTCACCTTTCCCTTTTCCCATGTAGTCCCCGCTCTGGGGTGCGTGCGTCGTTCACGGTGCGTGTGCCGTGGAGTGCTGGCCCCCCGCCCACTCGTGCTGCTCTCTCCGGGGCCCCGGCTCAGACCTGGAGCAGCGCCGAGAATCGTTTCTGTTGTCTCATCTCAGAGCAGATGCATGTCGGTCCCACAGCACGTGTTAACCTTAGGGGGCGAAAAGAGCGCACAGCGTGGCCCCTGCCCCTGGAGACTGAGATGTGGTTGAGCAGACACGACTTGGAGCAGTGCCCGTAGTCATGAGCGAAGTCGCCTGGCGCATCAGCTTGGCGCACTGGTGTGATAAAGTGCATCCCAAGGGAAGTAGTAAGGCACCGCCTGCAACACAGAGCCAGCCAGAACGAAAGACAAGGAGAAGCGAGTGTCATGGAGAGATTGTTGTGAATCAGCCCCGAGGAGGGAGGGCAGGGAGGAGGGGGCCTGTTGGTTTTCGGAGCCTGCTGGAGCTTTAAGGAGAGCCGAGTCCTCTGAGAGGATGAGGACGGAGTGCAGGGGGCGAGGGCCCGGTTCTGGGAGGCAGGATGAGGGACAGGAGCTGGCGAAGGAAGTTCAGGACAGAGTCATTGAACCATGACTGCCCAAGGCCGTGGAAGGTGGAGGTGGCAGGTGGGGAGTAGCGGATGCAAAGGAAGTTTGACTTAATGTGGTTTTATTTTACTTTATTATTATTTTCTTCAACGTGCTCTCTCTGGCCAGTTTCATCACAGAACACTTGTGCATGATTTACTTCTCGCCCGTCTGCTCTGGCACGCCTCTGATGATGTCAGAGCCCCCGGACCAATGGCAGCCCGGGTGCACACTCTGCCGTGTGTCCCACACGCTGTTCCCAGTGTGGGATCCTCGCCCCCTGCTCCCCCCGTGGTGGTGGACCCCAGGCTGCCCACCGTTACACCACACTCTACTCCAGATTCCCTCATGGCGGGACAGTGGTGGCGAGGGCGGCCAGCTTGCCTCGTCCGACCATCCTCAGGGTCTGCGTGTGCTCCGCCCCAGCACGTCTGTCCACTTCTCACAGCGAGGTGGGGCCTGGAGTTGATCGACTCCAGGGACTCTGGATGACCCCAACCCAGAGTAGCTGCCACGCCAGCCGGGGGTGGAGAAAGGAAGTGATTTAATGTGGTTTTAAAATTGACAGCCGGTACCTTAAGTAAAGCAATATCGATTACAAGCCACGTTTCACGGGTTCAGGGAGAGAGACAGCGAGGAAATGGAGGCAGCACCCAGACACGGCCTTTCGGATTTCTGACCGTGGGCGCGGAGGCATTCCTGCAGGGGGCACTGTGGGCGAGCTCACAGGCTGACTGTCAGGAGCCCCGGGGCGAACCTGGCTTTGCCGCTGAGTGAGCCCTGTTCCTTTGGATACATCGTCCGTGTCACCGTGACCCCTGCCGTGCTCTCCACGTAACCTTCCGTGTGGCGTCTGTTCCCCCGGTTGCGTGTCCTGTCATCAGATCACAGCCGCTCACCGGATGTCTCGAGCGGAGATGACAGGGCTCACACTGCCCCTGGCGGGGGGGCGCTGTCCCAGGGGGGTGGGCAGTCACTCAGCCGCCTGTCTTTCTCCCCCGCAGCCGTGGACAGGGTGAAGGGGCCGTCGCCGGAGTCCCAGAGCAGCAACCTCTGGGTCATCGTGGGCGTGGTCATCCCCGTGCTGGTGGCGATGGTGATTGTGGTCATCCTCTACTGGAAGCTGTGCCGCACGGACAAGCTGGACTTCCAGCCGGACGCCGTGGCCAACATTCAGCAGCGGCAGAAGGTGAGGGGCCAGCCCCTGGCGTGCGTAGGTAGACCCGACTCGCAGGTGGGGTGGTGGGGGGGCTCGGGCTCCGGGTGCAGACAGAGGGCCAGCAGGGCAATCTCCTGGCTGTAACGGCGGTGCCCCTCTGCCCTCGTGTTCGCGGACCGGGACCCCAGTTCCTCCGTAGCGTTAACTGTGTGCCGAGGAGACGAAGAAGCTGTGTAGAGGCCGCACTGCGCCACACCTTCGGGGGCCTTGGCGTCCACTGTGCTTTTGTTTGCGAGACCATCAGCCAGCAGGTCCCATCTGTTCTGGGGACGCATTCTGATCCCTTTTAACCCCGGATCTCGTCAGAGAACAGGAGCCAGGGCAGATTTTCTCCGGTCTGCGTGTCTGTATCTTTCAGACACAGCTTCACTGGATGGCCCTTTGTTTTCCGTCCACTGCAAGCCCCTGTATCCGCCTTGGTCAGGACCACTTAGTCATCCAAGATTGGTAATACCTGCCATAAACATCTCACCTTAAATGTATGAGGAGGTATTTAGTTACCAATTCTTCAACATACCTGAAGTTTGTTTGTTTGTTTGTTTGAATGTTTGTCTGCTGAGAGGAATTTCCTGGGGTCTTTTTTATAGTAAATACCCACAATGCACCAGAGCAGTTCCCAGTTTGGGTTTCTTAGAGAGGAAGGAGCAAAGCAACCGGAGAGCAAAGTTCCCTGGATTTTTTAATGCTTCCCCACCCCCCACTCTGCAGTCCTTTAGACTTAGCTCACCAACTCCTAATTTGACAGCAGTGTTTTAGCAGCGCCTTGTCCATGTCTTTCTAAAATATTTTAGTTTCTATAGGGGTAGCAATTCTCTTCTTACCTGTTTCAGCAGTTTCTGCGACGTTTAGTGCTCACATACAAGCTTTAGAGCAAGGATGCCGAGTGTCGGCCAGTGTCTAGTTCACCGGGTGTGAGCGAAACCGTTCCCAGGGACAGAGAACTCACTGCCTGTCAACATTCTGCACAGCAGGGATCAGCCATCACTGAGGGAGAGGAAAGTGGTCGTGAATCGACGACATTTACTAACATGTACCCTCCGTGGGTCTCATCAATGTAGGGGACTCGCTCAGCGCTGAGAGTTGGATAAGAAAGAGCAGATAAGCAGGGACTTGCCTGATTCACCTGCGGATTTTATTCTGATTGTGTGGGTACAAAAAATTCTGTGCGTGACAGACCTAGACCTGCTGAAGGAAAACATAAGTATTGTTTTAAGCTTTATTTCACTTTTGTAAAAGTAAATGAAGCATATTCTTTCTCTTATGAATTAAATAAGAAGTGCAAAATCTTGATTAAATTGCAAGTACGTTGGGTTAAATTATCAAGTATATTGGAAGCATTTTATTTTTTTTAATTAATTAATTTAATCCTCACCTGAGGACATGCTTATTGATTGGGGGGGGCGGTGCAGAGAGGGAGAGAGACAGACAGACAGACACCGAAGTGAGAGAAACATTGGTTGCCTCCTGTATGCGCCCTGACTGGGGATCAAAGCCACAACCCTTTGGTGTATGGTACAATGCTCCAACCCGCTGGGCCAGCCCACCAGGACTATTGGGGGCATTTTATACATTAATATTGTATTGTTACGTGCCTCCATTTATTATTTACATAGTCTGACAAGGTTGTTTGGTTCTTAGACTGATGAATGGCACAGAAGAAACCTGGAAAAAATTAGTACTTGGTGTACGAAGTGGTTCAGAGTGTGAATTTTACCATAACAAGATCGACAATAGATCTCATTGGAAATGATTTTGTTCTGGGGCAAGAGTACCGTTTCCGAGAGATTTAGCCAGCACAGACGGTCTGTGTATCTAAGTCTTTCGCGTTGCTTGGTCTCCGGTGTAAAGACTCGCTGTGGAAGCCCGTCCGTGACCTGTCTCTGTGGCACAGAACAGGGCAGTCCCCAGCCTTTGTCTCCTCCTCCCACTTTCACTTCCCAGCAATTGTCGCGTCCCAGACGTGGCTCTACTTCAAATGGGCAGAGTTTCACATGCAGCCCCCAGCCTCTGGAGCTGCCCCTGTGCTGTCACCGCCTGTTCCTGGGACGGTCTTCGGCAGGGGGCCTCCCGAGAGAGGACACGTGTTGTTTGGAGGGTAGAACCTCCTGATGTTTCAGAAGCACCGGCTTGGTTTGGGTGGTGCCGGAACCCATTGTGTGGGTCTGCCGTGTGTTTGGAACAGGAAAGCGATGATCTCCACGTAGCTGAAAAACAAAGTTCTCTACTTCGTAGGCTCTTAGGAGCTTATCTGGTAATAGCCAGGGGCTCCTCGCCTGATCCCAGGGGCGCTTGGAAAAGGTGCTGTCTTCCCAGTGACTGTAAGAGGTCTTCGTCTTCCTGGGGTACCTCTCCCCTCCCCTCCCCCTCCCCCCCCCCTCTTTCTCCCCACATCTTCCCCCAACCCCACCCCCTTTTGCCCACCCCACCCCCGATGCTGCCTCCCTACTACTCTCTGAAATCTTGTAGCAAACCCCAGTCCTCTGAACATCTGGAAACAATGAATCTGCGGACCACAACTCCACACCCCCTCCCCCTGTAGGAGAGGGAAACCTTCAGACTGTCAGAGAATAGATCGTTTTGAAACATGATAAGAGGGAGAGGCCTTTCTGTCGTATTTGGAAGCATGCTCCTTCCTTATTTCTAATAACAATGAAAAAACAAAACCCCTAACCCATGTCTTTGTTTTTATCTGTATTCTCTTTATTATTTTTTAAGATTTTATTTATTTTATTTTTAGAGAGGGAAGGGAGGGAGAAAGAGAGAGAGAAACATCAATGTACAGTTGCTGGGGGCCGTGGCCTGCAACCCAGGCATGTGCCCTGACTGGGAATCGAACCTGAGATGCTTTGGTTTGCAGCCCGTGCTCAATCCACTGAGCTACGCCAGCCAGGGCTTGTATTCTCTTTAATCTGTAGCCCAAAGGCATCACTTGTCACTGTTCCCAAAAAACTCCAGCTTGGACCCGCCTTGCCCTGTCGAGTTTCTGTTTAAAGATGGGCACGGCATTGGCTACCTGCTGCTGGTCCCACGGGAGCCCCTTTCTTCTGCTGGGGACAGCCCACACTCTGTCGCTGGAGCAGGACCGCGGCTCCTGGCCGGCCGGCACTGTGGGCAGCCAGATGGGGTGGCCGTGGACACGGCACGTGCACTTACTGGACAGACACCGAGCGTGATCTGGGAGCCGCTCAGGGCCAGGCTGGGGGGCAGGCACAGATGTGCAGTCCTGCTTCCGAGGGCTTTGGTTCGGGAGAAGGACACACAGTCACGGTGTGGGTCTGTCTGGGGTGCTGCAGGAGCACAGGGGAGGGGCTGCCACCCCACTCCCGGTGACGGGCTGCTTCTGCCTTCCGAGAGGTGATGCGGGGCGGACACACAGAAGTTGAGAGGGAGCCGGATGAAGTGGCCTGGGGGAGGGAAGGACTTGGAGCCCGGGAAGGATGGGACAGATTGTGTGGAAGGGCACAGCCAAAGCTGAGGAGACGGGGGTGGGCAAGAGCCAGGCTCCGAGGGTACTGGGAGTGAGGGGCTGGGAGTGAGGCTGTAGGCAGTGGGGACCCACTGAAGGTGGGTCTGAAAAGCAGGGACAGTGGCTGGAGTGTGTGTGTTTGGGACGGCCACTTCAGGGGCAGTGTGGACAGCGGGTTGAAGAGACGCTGCATGGGCGTTTCTTCCATCTCAGCCAAGTGCAGCTCGTCCCCCGTGGTTGCTCGTGGAGTTTGTGCAGGGACCCCTGGAGGCCTCCCGTGTCGGTGTTCCAGCTTACCCGCAGTCAGGTGACCGTGACCGCCGTGGCCTGGGGCGGGAGGATCTTGAGTACTGCCCTCCCAGACTCGAGGCCTCAGGAGGGCCGGCTGGGCCCCGGCAGAGACACTCACGGTAGTAGCTCCGCCTTCCCCACTCAAGGGAAGGTCCTGGCGGCCGTGGTGCATTTCCACGGGGCACATCCCCCAAGTGCACACGCTTGAACGGTGGTGTTCTCCTCAGGGCTGCACAGTTTCACTTAGAAGCTGTTGGGGTTTGCTCTGTGGTTTCTCTGTCGTCGTCATACTCCTTCCCGGGGTTCAGGCCAACCGAGTGCTGGGAACCTCCCTCTGTCCTGTTGCGTCTGGGTCGTGTTACATTGATGCCTCACGAGAGTTACAATTCATCAGGCGTCTCTCTGGTTATTTGACTGACCTGCCCAGCAGGCCCCCCCGACTTGTGGGTGACATATCCTGGTGGGGCACTGGCCCTGGGGCCTGTTCCATTGTGACGTATTAAAGAAAGAAGGAGCAAAAGAGCTGTCCTTCCTCAGAAGTAACCCGGTCCTAATATGAATATTAGAGCACGATTAGTCACTTCTCTTCTTTTATAAAATACTGACTCAAGTTTATTCTGCATGTGGAAGCTGGAGACACAATGTAGCCAGACTTAACTCTAGATTAAAACAAACAAAAAAAGAAATGGAAAACTAGAAAAAGTATACCAGAAAGTAGGGATGAAACAAAAGTAGCTAATTCTATAAGCTAGTGGTAGGGGCTGGGGTGGGGCAGTGATTCCTCTAATGTTTTCCTTCTGTGTATTAATGGCTTTTGTGTGGTGCATAAGCCCAGATTTGTTGCCAAGTTTCTATTGTTGTAGAAGGTGGTGAGTCACCCAGCCTGGGAGAAGTGTGAGAATCTAGTATTTAGAGGCGTTAGTTGGCGTCAACAGTAAGCCGCAGGGCTTCACGGCCACTGTGCATGTCTATTCCATTTACGACGTAGACCCCTTCCGTGGTCCCGCACAAAACCCAGTGAGTTCGAGGCGTCAGCTGACCTTTTTCAAATTCATTCCGTCCTCAACCATTAATCGAGGGTCTGCCGTGTGTCACATCCTGTTGCTGAATGACAGAATTTTGTGTCTGAATTTATATCGATCGCTTAATCAGATGCCTGTGAACTCCTAGCAGATTGTCTGTTCACGATGCTTATCCACAGAGAGCGGTAACAATGGCGTTGGTCTCATTCGTAAGGTGCTTTGGTGTTGGTGAAGCATTTTGACACATACGTGTGTTTGTTTGTCCCACAAGCCCTGGCAGCCTGTCGGAGAAGGTCTCCAGTTCCCGGACTCAGGGCACCATGGAGGCAGTGCGGTTGAATAATGATTTTTACCGTATTCCCTTTGGAGACCTTTGCTTCGAGGAGATCTCCAGTCTGTGGCTCCTCCTCCAGTTTCAATAGAGCAAACCATCTACCTCGAAAAAGAGAGAATTTCCCAGTCACGAGAGGCACTTACTGCCTTACCAGGAAATCCACCCGTGAGGATTTCACCAGGGTCGACACGGGGGTGATGCTGATGGTGATGATTAGTTAACTGCCGATTGTGACTGCTATTCTTTCATTTAGAGTCACCTTCGTTTAAAATGAGGTGCCGCTGGGGTGAAACAGCCCCATGGGTGAGAGAGAGGTGCGTGTCTCCCCTGTAAAGGAGGAAGTCTCTTAGGAACGGGGGCTGGAGAGGGGACCAGCACGGCTCCCAGACCACTTCCACGCTCCCAGGAATGTGTGCATTTAGGAGAGAACATGCAAAGAGGTTTCCCGTCTGGAACTGGGTTCCCTTAAGAGGGCTGCGCGCCCCCAGTTGAAGGTCTCTGTGCTAATCAAGTCTCAGGGATTCGGAAATAAGTTTAGCCTGGGTGGCTGGGGGTGTGGGGGATTGGGTGGAGCCGTGGAGTGGCAGGTTTGGGTGTATCGTGTCCAAAACAACATTCCTGCCGGTGTGGTGGAGTGGCCTGCTCTGGAATAATGACACGCTGTCATCATTTTAGGAAACACAGGCAGGCCCGTCCTCACCTTTTGTTTCCAAGCAACCTCTTTGTAAACTATTGTTACGGTAAATTTTGTCTCCCTCTGCTGGCGTAAGTGGTGATTGCAGACTACTCTCCTACCCACGAATCCTAGACGTTTAGTGCCGAAGAGGTTGGAGGCCACACATCTGAGCCCTGGGTGGTGTCACTCATTGTACAGAGAGTTGGCACAAACACGACAAAGCCTTTTGCTTCCGCACAGTCTCTGGTCTGAGATAACTCCTCGGATGGGTTTGCCCGTGTCTTCCGACAGCTCGCACTGCCCGTAGGCGTGGGACACAGCCTGGCCAGGGGGCTCGGGTTTGCCCACGGCGCCCCCACTGAGGGCGAGGAGACATTGAGATTGCTGTGGATATGCCGTTTATTTCTCTACGCTCCTCAGGCTCGGCTTGAGGAAACTGCGAACACTCAGCCCTGGCACTTGTCACCCACCGAAAGTGGTGTCCCACCTTCATTGTCCCCGTATCCACACACTTCGAGCACCTTTCCTGTCTCAGCAAAGGCCCCGAGGCGGAGGCCTGGACCCTGTGCTGCGGGCTCGCGGGGTCTCGGTGGTGGGCTGCAGTCGGTGCCTCGTAGCCCCACGTGGGCCCCCTGCCCCTGCCAGTGTGACGGGTGGATGTTCCCAGGACCCCTTTCTCCTTCACCTTTGTGCCCCAATCACTTCCGTGGGCCACTCCTTTCTAGAAACCCTCTATTCCCTTGCCTTCTATTCCATTGAATGATCCAGATTCTTCCTTTTTTTTTTTTTTGAAGTCGGCTCTTTTTTCTTAGCTTCCTTTTTTCCCTCTGAGCGCCGAACTGTAAGATGCCCTCTGACATTTTATTCACGGTCCATTTTCATCTTTAGAAATGTCAGTTCTCAAAGCCGCATCTCCAGCCGAACGTCCCCGATGCCATTGTCCTCTGACTGCTGCTCCATGGAGCTGCTCTCCTTCAGAGCTTTTGTGCCCTTGCAGCCCCAGCATGGTTAGAGCAAAGCTTGTCTGTTTCCTCCAGCCGTCATTCCTTCGTGTTCACCTCCTTCTTTCACTGTCACGTCCACCGGTGCGTTTACCCTGGCGGTAACTCCCACTCCCCGCTGGTTCTTCCTCTCCTTTGCCTCTTGCGTCTGTTACGCGTCTGGGCCCTGCCTTGGGGCATCTGGCGCTGTTCATCCCTCTCCATTTTCCTTGCTGAGGTTTTGGGCCCCAGCTTTTGTCAGTCCCCGCTTGTGGTCTTGCAGGGCCCTCTTCCTGCTCCCTTTGTGTCCCGTCTGCTTGGGTTTTAGAAATCCGTCCCTTTAGAAATAGGAGGTTTCCGCTCTGGAACTGGCATTTGGAATCATACACCCACAGGCCGGCCTTCTCCTTCTCCCTGTATTCTGACCATTCTAGAGCAGCTCAGGCGGTCTCTTCCCAACCTCATGTCCTCTGGCCCCTGACCATCTAGAACACACTCTGTGTCGCCACCTCTCTTTATTTCTAAGTTCTGTCTGTCCTCCGAGTCTTGGCACAAGTCCCCGTTTCTCTGTATAGAATATTATGTCTGTGTCACTGTCTCGGGAATTGCATAGCACACGGTTACACTATTGTGACCGCGGGTCAGGCATTGTCTTCTGGCGTCTTTTGTATTATGGTCTGGCTATTTAATCCGTGTACTCTTCTTTGATTTTTTGCAAGCACCCATCATTTCTGCAAACTCGAGGTATGCACGGCACTCGGCACACACTTGACGATTTGGAGAGCTTCTGGAGTTAGGTTGGTGGGATGGCGGGCACAGTTTTGAGTTGGAAGTCAGCGCTCACAGTGTCCCAGCCCTCACAGTCTCTTTCCCAGTCGTCAGGTTTCAGGGGGACTGTCCTGCCTGTTTGTTTAGTTGCAGATCCCCAGCGTGAAGGGCTTTGATTTTGCCAAGCAGCACCTGGGCCAGCACAACAAAGACGACATACTGATTATTCATGAGCCAGCTCCACTGCCGGGACCTGTGAAGGACCACACCACGCCCTCGGAAAATGGAGACGTCCCGAGCCCCAAGGCCAAGGTCCCCTCCAGGAATGTCCGTCACCGAGGAAGGTTCGTGTTGGGCTTGCTGCATTGTACTCTGTCGCAGAGCCTGTTTCTGGTTTCAGTTTGACAATTTGTTGTATCAGAAGGGCGACGGCACATGTTGCCCAAGAGTCTACGGCCCGGGAGACTGACCACAGCTTGCCCAAAGTAGGTGCATCCGAGGGCTCTCACGCCACTCTGATGGACTATCAATCACTGTCCGTCATGGTCTGGCAGTCCTCTTGTGACTCGATTAGGGACTGGCCAGCTCAAGGGTAATATTCTGGGGCGAGCGTGCTCAGCCCTCTGGAGACGGTATCAGAAATAATGCCGAGAAGGCGCATAGCCCGTGCTGCACACCCAGCACCGGCGTTGTCCTGGCCCACCATGCCGGCGGGGGGCTGTGACTTCACTGCTCCGCCTGCAGGTGACCTCATCACCGTGTTCTGTCTTTGCTTGATTTTCCTCCGGCCGTCCTTGTCGTCACCATTGCTGGCACGTGTGCGTGGACTCTGCCCCATCTCCCCCCTGCCAGGCCCCCATCCCCAGTTCGTTTCCGTCCCTCCTATCGGAAGGAAGCACGCAGAGAACTGCTTGTTGAGCTTCGTTAAAGACCAGGTTCAGAACCGGGCTTTTCTGCAGTTGCCTTCAGGTAGTTGCATGGTCACGCTGCGGCTGTGAAAGCCCCAACTTACCCATCTTCTTTGAGTCTCAATATTCTCAATCCTGATTTTCTACGGAAAGGAAAAAAGCATGGGATCATACCAGTATTTGAAGCGATATTATAATATCTGACAGCAGGAAACCTACCTTGGGGTTCTGGCCTAATTTTAAGAATTTAATGGCTGTTAGAACATGATCTTTACAGAAGAAATTGCCTTATGGAGAGAGATGTTATTTGCTTAATTATCTTGCAGGCGAAGCATACACCAAATCATTAAGGATTATTTCATGTGCTAGTACAATTTTGTGAAGTCTTTTTTTTTCTTCCCTGGTCGTCTTATCCTAAACGTTTAGTCATGACCCCTCGATGGGCTGTGTGTTCCCCTGATATTTTCGCCTCTCTCATGGGCACCAGCATGCGCTGGCCTTTCACTCTGCTGTTTAAGCCGGCAGAAAGCACCAAGAGAAGGCGTGCTCACTGCTTAGGGATGTTTCCTAGCCCAGTGCCCTCTGGCTTCCATGCTCTTCAGATATGGAAATAAATCTCGGTGGTGATCATTGCCTTTGTGTTGGAATGGTCTCCCGAAGGCCTGGGTGGAGTTCTGCTGGGTAACTGCAGGATGCCCCTGGCTTCCTAGAGATTCTGCAGACCCAGGTAACCCTGAGCCAGGCCTGAACTGCAGACCCAGACGGCCAGGCCAGGGCCCTGGAAGCCCGGGGACTGTCCCGTATTCTGGCTCCCAGTGTCCTAGCATTGGTTGAAATGCAGCCTGTGGAGCTATTTCCTAACCGGCTACACTGTCTTCCAGAGGTAACTAAGTGCTGTTCCTGTCCTTGAAGGTGCCGTATCATGAAGTGATTTCGGGGATTGTCTGATTTCTACTGGTTATGCCTGGAAGCCTGACTTCCACATCCAGAGGACTGTGACCCACCCCCCCCCCTTTTCCGTGTTCCTCCTAATGCTTACATTTGTCTCGTGTCTGCAGAATTTCGCCCTCGGATGCCGACTCTACCGTGAGTGAAGAGTCCAGCGAGAGGGAAGCAGGAGAGAAGGCGCCGGGCGCAGCGAGCGACGGCAAGTCCCCCAGAGCCCTGTACTGTGGCCCGCAACCAGGAGAGTGGTCTCCTTGCTCTCCATGCTGAAAGTAGTAGTTATGAGGTTGCAGGCGGCGAGGGTTTTAGGTTCTTCAAAGGCCGAACTTGACAAAATACTCCGTGCAGTGGAATATTCGTTACCCGGATGGGTGGTGAACATCTCACTGTCGATGGTCACTAACAGGGTGCTGGTGTGCGGGTCGAGGTGGGGCGGGGGACTGGGGGTTGGTGGGTGGGGTGTGCTGGAGGTTAGGGATTCAGCACAGGGGTGGGTTTCGAGGCTCGCAGCCCCCATGTTCCACTCTCGTTTCAAGTTTGAACAGTTTTCCTTCTTGAGGGACAAGGAAGAATCAAGCTAAAACCAGTCTCAAAAACTGCCTCCAGGATTCCGCGACCTTCTTACCATCCACTTCAGGAATTTCACAGCTGCCAGAAAGCTGTGTGTTTGTCGTAGGTCCCAGTGTATTCTGTTTGGTCCCAAGTCTATCTTCCTGGGTCAGGGCACTGGTGCTGGTCTAGCACATTTGTGTCTGTACTCAGATGCTGTAGCTTCTTGGACCAGGTCCGAAGTGAACTTCACTCCCGTTCTAAACGGCATTACTGCGACCCTCCCGCCCAGTAAAAAAAAACAAAAACAAACAAAGCTCACAGGTCTTATTAGACTCTCGCGTGATGGCTTTTCTGGCATGATGACAGGTAGCTGGGTTTCAGTTTAATCCATTCTGTTAGACAGAAGTGCCTGGGTAGCTCCCGTGTTTGCTGGGTTGATGTTTCTGTAATGCAAAGAAAATTGGGGTGCCCGGGGACGTTATTTTGAATAGCAGTGTTTGTGCTTCTATATTTCATCACCACTTTCTCTGTATGAAAATGCAGTACGGAGTGAACTGTACTGTGGAAGTAAACAGATTCTGGACGGAGGCCGGGGGGCCCATTCTGGCACTGTCGTGCTTGTGACCTTCCAGGTTGGTCCCGTGGCCTTCGAGCTCCTGTGGGACGAATGTAGCTGTGTTCTGAGATCCCTTCCAGCTTCTTTCAGGTGTTTCGTGTTGATGTTAAAAAAATATACCCTCTTAGTGTAAAGGGAAGAGTTTTTTCCCTCTGGATCCCATTTCACAGAACCTTAGACGTGACTCAGCACTGTGGTAACAGTGCACGGTTTCAGGTAGAGGGGATTAGCATCCAATTTTGATCCTGGGGAGGGAATATTTGAAAAAAAAAAAAAAAAAAGAATTGGCTCTGGAGTTTCTTGGGTTCTTTGTTTACCTGAAAAAATCTTGCTTTTAGTTCCCATGTTTAGCTCCTGACTGATAGGATTACAAGGAGGATATATTCTACGTGGCGAACAGAAACCAAGCATCACTGCCAACATACACTCAAAACCCCAGGCGCAGGCCTGTCAGTCTGGGGACCGAGAGGTGACGGGGGAAGGACACAGGCGGATTAAGTGTTCTTGTGCGGGGCTCACATGTCACTACTCCGATTGGAACACACCCCGCCGGAACCCACACATGATTTTCATGTTTTAGAAAGATGGGTTTCTCACTGTAAATATCAATTCGCTTTTTAAAAAAATTCCCCCCCGAAGATGTGTGTATTGACCTCAGAAAGGAGGAGAGAGACATAGAGTTGCATCGCCGTGAGAGAGAAACATCAATCGGCTGCCTCCCGGAACCACAGCCTTAGGGTGCGTGGGCCAGGGCTCCAACCCAACCCACTGGGCCGCTTGGCCAGGGCTGCACCAATCCACTTTTAAAATTCTCTTTACATCCTTCAAGCTGTACTGCTGCCATCTAGGTGTTTTATTGCTTGCATAGAACTTGGTTAAATACCATAGAAAACGATTCTGTGTTTATAATCATAGTTTTTGAAATATTTTCTACAACAATTCGCATGAAAATCTCCCTTGTGTTGTAAGTCATGCTGAATTACAAATTAATGGAGGCAGGAGGTTGCTTGAGGTGTTCTGGGACCCTCGTCCATGATGGCCTGGACCAGGGCCCCCTCCTCCCACAGTGGGTGGCAAGACTGATGCTTGTCACAGTCACCTGGCGTTTTCAGGGTCCACCTGGCGCTGGAAGCGCTGCAAGGACCTTTATTTCGGTTTCGGTCATTTCGAGGCTGTGCCTTTCTCCCTCCCCAGCTGACCGTGTTTGGAAGGTGGTTACACCGAGACGCCTACCCTCACACCGTCCGCAGACCCTGTGAGAGGACTCACTCAATGTCACTGTGGTCACAGTCATTGCAGGTTTAGAACAAGCCACATCACTGCCACTCGCTGGGAAGAAAGGGAGGAGGGAGAAGGAACTTCACACCCTCTGTGCGTGAAGGCTCTATACACCTGCCGCTGCGGTGGCCGGGGAGGGTGTGAGGATTCCTCTCCCCTGCGTCAGGCAGGCGCCAAGTAGGTAAAGACCTCGAAGTGCGGAGTGTTTTCTTTTTGCTCTCCGTAGGGTGCACGTGAGCAGGGGGGTGATTTTTTTTTTATGTGCTTAGAACTTCATCAATGTGAATCCCACAGATTGCAAATTCTAGGCTGTCACATAGGAACCTAGCCGCCACCTCCCTCTACATGTGCTAAAGAGCTTGCAAAGCAAATTAAGTCTTTAACACGAAGCAGGGCGAATATTTTGACTACGTGTGACACCAGAATTTTTCAAGTACTTGGAGAGCATCCATTTATACAATGACTGAGACCATAACTTGCAATTCTTATCTTCTTATTTAGGCAGATTCCCAGAGGCCTCTTGGGGGTAAAATTTTATAAGCTTAGTTGGGGTGACTAGTCATTTAGGTAGTCACCCTCTCAGCCCATGTTGACCATGTGCCTGTGACGGGTTAGGAGCTGGGACAGGATGAAGAGGGGACGCCTGTGACCCCCACTCACAGGATATTAGTGTGGGTCACAGCCATTAATGATAAGGCAGTGTGATTGTATTATTTACCTTAGATGATGAAATATTTCTCTAAAAAGTGTTCTATTGCTCATACACTTCAGTAAATCAGATTACCTTTTCCTCTGTCATTCTCCTCTGTTGACAGTATCTTATAATTTTTATCATATTCTTTGTTTTATTATATTGGAAGAGAAAGAGGTTTTAATCCAAAGTCCCAGCTTGTCTTGAGGCAGGCTTCACACAGCATTAACCTCTGTGTATCCATTGTATTTTCCATGGGCCGATGTAGTTTTATTTTAAAATGTGTAATGCATAGTAATAAAAGTACGTAAGTGTATATTATATAAACGGGGATATGTGTATACATGTACACATACATCTGTATATATGACAAATATACCAGTACACGTACATATACAGCAAGCACATGCAGTGTGTATTATATGTACATGACAAATAACAAGCCCCTCTCTTCAGCCCTGTAGAAGGGCCGGGCTCCGGGCAGTTTTCTGTGCGTTCCCTCCTTCTCCAGTTGCACTTGGTGAATTACAGCTCGAGGACCCGTGACCACAGTTGGGGGGTGGGGCAGGGCGTGGACGGGAGGCAGGCACAGCCCTGCAGCTTCAGTCCCCGGGGAGGGCAGACAGCACAGGGGGAGGGGCCCTCCTTCCTTCCTCTGCCTCCTCTGCCTTCCAGCCCCTTGGAGCCCTCTGCCTCTCTTATCTTTTTACCATCCTGGAGGGAAGGGACCTCACCTTTAGGTATCAGTTCCTTAGTGGGCTACCCTTTGTGACATTTGCTGGCACTTTGTAAGTTTGGGTTAGCAAGGGCAGCCTATCTTGTGAAGCTAATGATCTCCTTTTAGTCCTTGTCCCTGCAATTTGAGACGCTGCCAGCAGCTGCCTGGTCGGGCCTGCCCACTTGCATCGCACAGCCAGGCAGGGAGGAAGGTTGAATTCAGACAGCTGCGGCTCCTCGCTGAGACAGACCCTGTTCCTTCACAGCTATACACATCATTTCCCGTTGCTCAGGGCAACAAAGGAATGTAATGCTGATGGAGAGGAAATACAAAGACTTACGTGGCATCCGTGTGCATTCCTTATATCAAATATCAACTTATTTTTTTATATATTTTATTGATTACGCTATTACAGTTGTCCCATTACCCCCCTTTTCTCCCCTCCACCCTGTACCCCCTCTCCCACCCACATTCCCCCCCTTTAGTTCATGTCCATGTGTCATACTTATGAGTTCTTTAGCTTCTACATTTCCCATACTATTCTTGCCCTCCCCCTATCTATTTTCAACCTACATTCTATGCTAGTTATTCTCTATACCTTTTCCCCCTCTCTCCTCCTCCCACCCCCCTGTTGCTAACCCTCCATGTGACCTCCATTTCTGTGATTCTGTTCCTGTTCTAGCTATTTGCTTAGTTTCTTTTGGTTTTGTTTTAGGCGTGGTTGTTAATAATTGTGAGTTTGCTGTCCTTTTACTAAACCTATTTTTTCTTTATCTTCTTTTCTTTGATAAGTCCCTTTAGCATTTCATAAAATAAGGGCTTGGTGATGATGAACTCCTTTAACTTGACCTTATCTGAGAAGCACTTTATCTGCTCTTCCATTCTAAATGAGAGCTTTGCTGGATGGAGCAGTCTGAGATGTAGGTCCTTGTCTTTCATGACTTGGAATATTTCTTTCCAGCCCCTTCTTGCCTGTAATGTCTCTTTTGAGAAATCAGCTGACAGTCTGATGGGAATTCCTTTGTAGGTTACTGTCCCCTTATCTCTTGCTGCTTCTAGGATTCTCTCCTTCGTTTTTACCTTGGCTAATGTAATTATGATGTGCCTTGGTGTGTTTCTTCTTGGGTCCAACTTCTTTGGGGTTCTCTGAGCTTCTTGGATTTCTTGGAAGACTATTTCCTTTGCCAGGTTGGGGAAATTCTCCATTATTATTTGTTCAAATACATGCTCAATCTGTTGCTTTTCCCCTTCCCCTTCTGGTACCCCTATAATTCGGATGTTGGAGTGTTTAAAGAAGTCCTGGATGCTCTTAAGCTTCTCCTCATTTTTTTGAATTCTTAATTCATCATGCTTTCCTGCTTGGTTGATTCTATCTTCTTTCTGGTCCACTGTATTGTTTTGAGACCCAGTTTCCATCCCTTCATTATTGGCTCTCCTCTGTATATCTTCCTGCATCTTTTTTATGGTAACCTGCATCTTTTCATCTAATTTGTGGCCAAAATCAACCAATTCCGTGAGCTTTCTGATCACCAGTGTTTTGAACTGTGCATCCGATAGATTGGCTATTTCTTGGTCGCTCAAAAGGATGAGTCCTGGGGGACTGATCTGTTCTATTGGAAACATGTCTCTCCCTGTCTCTCTTTTTTTTTTCCGGCCTGGTCGCTCTTGTTAGGTGGGGGGCGGAGCCTTAGGTGTTCACTGGGGCTGGGCACCCCAGTCGCTAGATTGTGATGTTATATGTGGGGGTGGGGGCGGGAGGAAACAATGGCAGTAGTTCCGTTCTCCTGGGATCTCAGTCTCTTCTCTGGGATCCTGGGCTGCGTGCTCTGCCCTGGTCCGCAATCGCCGTCTCACTGGGTCCGCCAGCCGCAGCTTGCGTACTCAGGGACCCCCGCTGCGTTCTTGCGGGCCGGATGGCTTTCGCGCCAATTTTGCGCCCAGTTTTCCCCGACCTCTGCGCGCCCGCCGGGCTCGTCCACTCCTACCAGTCTGGATGTACGGGTCTACTTCAACTTCTTGGCTGTCCGACTTCCATTCAGATAAATCCTCTATCAGTTCTGGGTGTTATTCTAGTTGTAAATTGTTGTTGTTCTAATCTTGGTTGTGCGAGGAGGTACGGTGTGTCCACCTATTCCTCCATCTTCCAACTGTTATTTCTTACTGCTTTGCTCAAGTCTGTTGGATTTTTTTACACCGAGGAGACACATAATTTTCAATTATACTTGAGGTCTCAAACCTTAGGCTTTTATCTGAAAACAGTCTCTGCATGCTTTCTCTCCTCCTCTTGGCCTGTGATCCATTTAATTTAAAGCAGTGTCCAGAGTGCCTGGAGACGACCGTGGCTTCTCGGAGGGAGGTCAGTGGTCTCAGGCCGTCTAACTGGCTCTGTGGGGGTCTTTCATCCCTTCACTCCCTTCATCTCTTTCTCTCCCCCCGTCTCTTTTGTGCCTCCTTAAAATGAACGTTCATTAGGATTATTTCCACTTTAAAAGTAATATGCATTAGAGAAAATCCTTATTACTGAAAATGTATGAAATTGGAGAAAATCACCCATTATACCAAGATTTAGTCTGTTAACATTTTATCTTAAAATTTATTTATTTATTTATTTAATTTTTGCTAGAGAGAGCAGAAGGAAGGGAGGGGGAGGAGAGAGAGAAGCATCAGTTTGTTGTTCCGTTTATCTGTGCATTCACCGGTTGATTCTTGTACGTGCCCTGACTAGGGATTGAACCTGCAACCTTGCCACATAGGGACGATACTCCAGTCAACTGAGCCACTGGCCAGGGCTGTTAGCATTTTAAATAGTTTCTTCTCTGTCTTTTGTCTACGCATTAAATTTTTTTTCTTTCTTTGCAGTTCTGATTACTTTAAAAATTCATTGTGGTAAAAATGTATGTGCCGTAAAGTTACCCTTTTAATCATTTTTAAGAAGTAATTTATTTAAAACAAATGTCCCTTTTTAACCATTTTTTAGTATACTCCTCGTCTCTTTTTAAAGTGGGAAGGAATTCCCTCCAGGCCGCCACTTTTTCTTCTGCCTCTTTGACTTCATTTTCTTTCTGTATGGATCGGAAAACCCAGACATGCCCACAGCTAATCAGCACACGCCGCTGTCAGCGGCCCCTCTTCTCTAGTGCAATTGCCTGGGCATCTGAACTTATCTCATTCCAGATGGGAGCGGAAGCTCAGAGCTGCTCTAAGTTCTACAAATTGCAAGGGACTGAGTGACATTAGGTTCCTTCTGCCCTTTACCCGTTCTTACTGAAGACTTTGAAATCCCTCTTAGACAAAACAGGGCAATTTCTGGCACAAAGTGTCCTCATGATTTTCATTTCTTTTCTAATGATATTTGTATCTTTTAATGAGGTTGAAGGAGATGATATTGAGCCTGGATCATTTAAGCTTCAGTGGGCACATTTTAAGTCCTTTGCCACAAAGTGGGGATTATGTTTTTGGTCAGGGGCCCATCTGTGGATTCTTTAAGAATTAATCCATATTTTTGGTTATTTATTATTTATTTAAAAAAAAAGATTTTATTTATTTTTAGAGAGAAGGGAAGGGCAGGAGAAGGAGAGGGAGAGAAACATTCATGTGCAAAAGAAACATAGATTGGTTGCTTCTTGCACACCCCCAACCAGGGACCTGGCCCACAACCCAGGCACATGCCTTGACCGGGAATTGAACCTGTGACGTTTAGATTGGCGGGATAATGCCCAACCTATGGAGCCACACCAGTCATGGCTCATCTGCTCTTTCTTTAGGATGACGTTATGATTTACTTTCCAGTTTTTCCCTCTGTTCCAGGGCCGCCACCACCCAGCTCCGGGAACGAGCAGCACTCCTCCGCCTCCATCTTCGAGCACGTGGACAGGATCTCCCGCTCCTCGGAGGCCAGCCGGCGGGTCCCCAGTAAGATCCAGCTGATCGCCATGCAGCCGATCCCCGCACCTCCGGTGCACCACCCCGTGCTGGCCGACCGAGTGGCGGAGACCAACAAAATCAACAAAGAGGTATTTGTTTTTATTAAAAAGCACACATATGCAAAAGTTCACATGCTGTTTTGGTTAGTGCTTAAAAATGAGTGAAAGTGTCAAAAGATTGCAAAAGGTATGAGCTGCTGGCAGGTATTTTTAATTTTAAATTAAAAATTATCCCCCCCCTTTTTTTTTTAGCTCAGATACTGTTCAGGGACACTGTTAGGTGCGCTGGCAGATGAGCAGAAAAGAGACTTGAGATTGCTGTCCTTAGAAGTCCCGCTCTGCCCTATGGCTGGGCTCGGGAACTTGAATTTCTGAAAGATTCCCATCATTTGCAGGACAGAGTGACTCACTGTGCTGAACCTGTGCAGACAATATGATTTGTGCTGAATGTCTGCTTTCCATCTGAGAGTTGGGAATTTTGGTACCGGCCAGGCAGAGGGTGCCTTTGTGAACAGCCCCCGTGAAAATCCCGGGCACCGAGTCTCCGGCGAGCTTCCCTGGTGGACAGCCTGTCACACATGTTGTCACAGCTTGTTGCTGGGGGAGTTAGGCACATCCTGTGCGATCTCACTGGGCGAGGACTCTTGGAAGCTCACGCCTGGTTTCCCTTTGCTGACTTTGCTTTGTATCCTTTAGCTGTAATAACTGTGATGAAAGGCCGAGTCCTGTGGGTCTCCCTAGTGAATCACTGACCCTGGGGTGGGCTTGGAACCACAGTAGACTTTGCGATGCTTCACAGATGTGCTATGGCTCCAAAGACCTAGATAATTCCTAGTAAAACACTCTTCCTGCAAATCCTGGAAGAGTGAGTTGGATCTGCTTCCCTCCTAAGACGTCGGGAACCAGAAGGCCAGGCCAGGCCAGGTCACTGTTAACTTAAACTTTCGAGATTTGACCTGGGCTGGACAGAGTGGAGTGACTGCCATTTAGGGAATGCACATAAGGCAGCTTCATGCCTGGCAGTGTCCTGCCCCTAAGAGACACCTGCTGCTGTTCGAGTTCTGCCTGGTCGAAGTCATCGGAAATTGTTGGCAATCGAGCCCCCAGCCCCACTTTGAAGGGATCTTGCCAAAGTCTCATCAAGAGTTGTTAGAGTTTCTCCTAGCCACGCTGGCTCCTTGCCAAGGAAGTGACCACAGTACATGTGCCCTAGGTTCAGGGAGGTGAGTGCTGTCCCTTCTTGCCGGTACTTAGGAGCCCAGTCGTGCATGGCCCAGTCCTAGCCTGGGCCTGTGTCCATCAGTCTCACATTGCGCATGCTCTGTGCCTGCCCTATGTGAACACCCTGGACTGGGGTCTGCATCTGGTGAGAGAAGGAAGCGAGTATGCTCGCCAGGCCTGTGGCCTCCAACTTGATAGCATGCCTCTCCATGTTTTCTTTTACCTTTTTAAAGGTAGCATTTGATGCATATGTGTGCCTATAAGCAATATAGAGTAGTTATAAAACATAAAGAATGAACTCAAAACCCAACTTTACAACTAGAGCATTATTAATACTGTTGCACCGACCTATTATCCTTTATACATCTAAGTTGGCATTTAAAAATAAAGTAGAATTAGCCCTTTAAAAAAATAGATTTTACTTATTTATTTTTAGAACGAGGGGAAGGGAGGGAGAAAGAGGGGGAGAGAAACATTGATTGGTTGCATTTTGTATGCATCCTGATTGGGATTGGAACCCACAACTCAGGCATGTGCCCTGACGAATTGAACTGGCGACTTTCGCTTTGTGGGACGATGCCCAACCAACTGAGCCACACTGGTCAGGACTAAATTGACATGTTTTCTTAGCAGGAGGTTCTGGTGCAAATTCCTAGCATATCTAGGTTCCCCCGTGAGGACTGCGTAGATTTCAAAAAACAATTAGATCCTGATGGAGTAAGGGGGGTGTTCTTACTTCTCCTGCTGCTAAGTTACCGAGAACCTCATGTAACCGACTGTCCTTTTCAGTCTCCAAGAAATAGGTGGCTTTGGGTCTACTGTGGCACAGCCAGGAATGTTCTATTTCATCTTGGCCGGTGGTGTTGCTCTCTCCTCCCAGTCAGATTCCCAGTCTGCACCGCACCCCAGCACAGCGGACCGGCCACCTCATCGGTCACCTCACTGCCCCCAAGCATTCACCCGCTTTCCTGCTCTGGGCCCTCTGCCGGGCTGTGCCAGCGTCTCGCACCCTCTCCCCATTCCCTCCCCCTCTTTGGATCCTACACGCTCTTCAACACCTAGTTCAGGCCCCGCCGTGCCAGGGGTGACATGCTTCCCTGTACGTGGGTCAGAGGACTTGTTTGGGTGATACCAGATAATTATCAGTAAATGTGCATTCTGCTGTGTGGTGCATGTAACCTCTTTGAACCCATCCTAATTTAAAAGCCTCTGAAGTAGTGATTATTGGGTGTGGAAAATATGTATTCTTTTTCTCAGGATGTATTATAGCTAGTCATTAGTGACCCTCAGTATCGCCCAAGTTGTCACGGCCCATCTCCCAGGTTTGAGTTATCTTTGCCGGCTTTGAGGGCGGGTACCATGCTTCCGCCTCCCACACATGTGACGAGTTCGGGGTTACAGCACCTAGGGCAGGTCCCCTACACCCTGTGTGTGTGGGGGGGCCTGCCCATGTTACCCCCTTTGCAGCCTCGTGGGAGCCTAGGGCAGCTGGCCAGGGGGCAAGTAACGTGGCACCAAGGCCTTCCCAAAATGCTCTCTGAGCCTGGGTCCTGAGACCTTCCGGCGCATCCCTTTTGTCTGGGTCCTCTCGTCTCGCTCCCTCAGATTCAGACGGCGCTGCGGCACAAGTCGGAGATTGAGCACCACCGCAACAAGATCCGGCTCCGCGCAAAGCGCCGCGGCCACTACGAGTTCCCGGTGGTGGACGAGCTGTCGTCGGGCGACACGCGAGAGCGACACCGGGTGTACCGCAGGGCGCAGATGCAGATCGACAAGATCCTGGACCCCACGGCCAGCGTGCCCTCGGTGTTCATAGAGCCCAGGAAGAGGTGGGGCCCCAGGGCAGAGCCGGTGGCCTCTGCAGTCAGGGCTGCGGTAGGAGGGCCCGCCCACTTTTACGGGGAAAGTCTCAGGAAACCAGGCAAAGAGGTCTGTACAGTGAGACGTGGTGTAGACCAGCGGGGTGACTTTGACCCTGCACGCGGCCACCTGTGTGCAGAAGGGCTGCTTTCATTCTGCTGCCCGGACCTCCTGGCCTCAGAGGGTTCCCCGGGGTGAATGTTTCCCGGAAGTCAGCATTCGGAAATGCTGGCCACCCTTCCCCTCCCAGACCCGCCTCTCCCCAGCTTCCTGGGCGCCCCCATCTCCGGTCAGCCGGCTCACCCCCAGTATTCTCGCCTCCCAGTCTGGTCGCCCGGGTGGGTGCGGGTGCACGTCTCATTTCCTGCCCCTCGGCCACCCTCAGTTTTGGGCCTCGCCGTCCCTTTTGCCTCTCCAGCTCCCGTCCCCTAACGCATGCGTTTTCTTAACCGCTGCTCTCAGTTATGTTTTCTCTGCTCGAAACCCATGCTGGTTCCCCGTGCGACTTGTGCCCCTGTAATGGGCGGGGCCCACCTGTCCACCACACAGTGGCGAAGACAGACTTGTCACTCCGTTAGCCAGTGGCCTCGTGGCCCCCAAACCTTCACCTGCATTTCCATTTCTGGCCCTCGGTGGCCCTTGGCGTGGTCGTGCCCACACCTCGCACGTTCTCCCCACATCCCTCCCTGTCTGCAGACGCTGTTTGCTGGTCAGCACCCAGCTCAGGCCCCATGTAGCCAGCCATGCATCAGTAGCTCAGACGACCATGCCTCTGTGTCTGCGCGCATGTGTGTGTGTGTGTGTGAGAGAGACAAAGCAACATCGGGAGTGTGTGCTGCCTTGGCTTCTTCTCCGTTGTTCCTTGTGTGTCCCGTAGTCCGCCCAGGTAGACAGCGAGTTTCCTCGGTGCCAAGACTGTGTCTTATCTCACAGGCTCTTTACTCCAGTGGCCAGCACGTCATGGGTGCTCAGAAAATGCTTAGTGTGGCGTTGATAAGCCAGTGCCTGGAAGGGTTATTTCCTATAAAAGGAACCTCTTTTTCCCTCCGGCAGCTCTCGGATCAAACGTTCTCCTAAGCCACGCCGGAAACAGCAGGTCAACGGCTGCCCTGGAGATGCTGAGAAGGACAGGCTCATCACCACAGACAGCGATGGCACTTACAAAAGGCCGCCCGGTGTCCACAACTCTGCCTACATCGGTTGCCCGGTGCGTAACGCTGGCCCTGCCCCCTGGAATTGGAGTGGGGCGGCTCTCTGGGAGGAAGAGTGCTGCTCTGTGTGGTGCCCTGCGCCAGCTGGGTGGGGAGGCGTGTGGGGCAGGGGAGGGAGCGGATGCAGGGGCTGCTGGGCGAGCCCTCAGGTAACAAACCTCACGCTTTTCCTTACTGTATGTGGGCCTTCTCCTCCTAGGGTTCAGCATGGATACTTCTCAAGGTTAATTAGAACACAGAGAAAACCATCAGGAAGGTGTTTTTTTGTTTTTATCCACCTGGTCAGAGTGTGGTTTGGATTTTGTGGTGATTGGAGGGATAATTAGGGTTTTGTTCCTCCCTTCTATTTCTGGAGTGCTAAGGAGGTATTGTATTTGCTAATAATATGTATATTTTATTTTACTGGGAGGAAGAGCTTACTGGAAGCTGAGAAACAGGGAATTAAACATTTTTTTCCAACAGAAAGGGCACAGACCCAGTTGCTTGCAGTGTAAAAGGCAGAGCTGATAGCAGTGAGACACACACACAGGCCCCATTCAGTGGGGAAGAAAGCGCCAGCCTCCCCGAGGGCCCCTGGGAAGTATGGACACAAAGGCCCGGAGACGGGGAGCGCCGGATGTGGACGCCTGCAGCCTGCAGCCTGGCGCTGGGTGCGGCCCTGTCTCCCTGCCCTAGACAGACACCCCTTCCTGCCTTGGAGGCCAGCTCCCAGGCCAGCCGTCCTTGTTTAGAGGGAAATGGGCAAAGGCGCCTCCTTAGAGGAGGGGGTATGGCGTCCCTTTAGGCAGAGCTTACGCATCCAAACCCTTTATTTGCATTTTACACTTTGTCTCCTAGATTATACTAATAACTGACCATACCAGACACTAGATGTAAAATGTGCCAACGTCAACTTTGGTGGACACATGAGCATCTGAAAGAACTAGCCCTTTCCTTGGGCAGTTATGTGTTTCTGGAGCCCTCAAGGCTGACCGAGCCCCTCATCCCTGCTCCTGAGGACTGGATGGAGCGAGTCCCCTTCGCTCCTCAGGAGGCCGAATGGAGTCAGTTCCACGCCCTGGCTGGCAGTTCTCACAGTAGATGGCGTCCTTGTGCTGCCGTGTTGGACAGGTGGTTGTCTGGGCCTCTGCAGGATTTGGTTTGGTCTTGGGGAGGGCGTCCCCCTGGCTCCCCAGGAGAGTCCTGCCCTGAGACTAACAAACAGAGGAAGGGGGCCGTTCTCCCCACTACGCTTCCCAAACCAGCAGGGCTCACTTTCTCAGAGGAATTTGCAGGGGAGCGTTTCAGTCCCTGTTTGTTGTTGTTGTTGTTTTAGTTCCCTGAGTGCCATCACCCAGTGAGTGCCGTGCAGCACGTGTGGGGAATGACCTGTCTTCCCTCGTTCTCTCCCTCTTGCCTTCGTCCGGGACTCTGGTCAGGCCTCTTTCCTGGTGTCCCGGACCATCCTTTTTCTCCTCGCCTTTTTTTTTCTCCCAGAAAGCGCAGGGGTGTCCCCTTCAGCTGGTAGAAAGAAGCCCTTCCCTAGAGTTCGCCACCTCATCTCCAGTGGCTCTGTTTTCCCCCCCAAATACTTACTGAAAGGAAAGTCTTCCTCCGTGGACTTACTTTCTCTCCCTAAAAATTCTGGAACACATATTTTCAAAGATGATACCTTTCTCAGAACTCACGTAGACATACGTGTTTTTTAATTATCTTAATTTTTTTTCACTTTCCCCCTCAAAATATCATCTCCTTGAAAATTCTGTTCTCCTGAAGTAAAAAAAAAAAATTCTCAGATTCCTTATAACTAAGTTTTCCGTTATCACGCAAACCTAGGCAAATGATAGCCATCAGGCCAAGTCCAGCCAGCTGCCTCTTTTTGTAAATAAAGCTTTATTGGAACACAGCCATGCTCATTCATTTGCATGTTATTTATGGCTGCTCTTGCAACCAGGGCAGAATTGAGTTGCAGAGTTGCAGGAGACACTACATGATTCAGAAAGCCTAAAATACTTGCTGTCTGACCCTTTCCAGAAGAAGTTTGTCAACCCCTGATACAATTCATCATTCAAGCCGGACTCTCGTGAGAGTGAACGGAAACACATAATTATTGTACAGGGATCACAAGGATAAACCGAGGTTGTCCTGGGCCAACCAGGGTGTGTGACCACTCTCTTATAATACCCACAGAATAGGCCCCAGAATATATCATCTCTGGTGACTGAAGGTAAAAGAAAAAAAAAAGCTTGTACATGTTTCCAAAGAATGATAGATGAACGTCTATCTCATGCAAAGGGACAGACTAAGTATAACAGAGTTATCAGACAGCGATTCAGGAGGCTGGAATCTGAATTCCGACTGGGCACCCTTGGAGACGTAGCCACTTTCGTAGCTTGCCACTTTCATTTTCCAGGAAGTGCCACCTGCACATGGAGCGCTGGTCTAGGAGCTGAGATGTAGAACAGGGAGACAGCCTGTCTTGGGCTGCAGGTTCTGAGAGTCTCACGTGAGACACGAGGAGGCAACAAGCAGAAAGGACAGGAGGCTCCCACATCGTGGCTGCGTGGCTCCGGGCCTTCTTGGCAGGATTCATGGAGCCAGCGAACTTTCCCACGGGAAACTTTCCTTCCCACCTTCAGAACACATGTCGCTTGTTAATAAAAATTAAATCTTCTCTGAAGTCAGGGCCCCTAAGGGTGAGGTTGGCGGTGGCTATACCTCTGGAGTCTCCCCCTGGGTGGGTGTAAGATTCCCCCCACCCCCCAGTGGAACCCCGGTTTGGGCTTGTGGCCGTGTATGTGGCCACACGGCCCGCTTCCTTGTAATGCAGCTACCTTGTCTGCTGCTGGAACCACCACCAGGAGCATCACTTGTGTCTCGGGAGAGGTCCTCCGACTCAGCAGCAGGATGTGCTCCCAGACACACTTTTCCATTTCTGTCCCAGGAGCTGTTGGCTGACGGCACACCGCTGACCTCACATTTCCGAACCAGCTCCAGGAAAACCAGTAATGGGGGAAGGGCTCACCTGTGGACCTTCTGTCCACCTCAAAAGAAAAGGAACACAGAGTTTATTCAATGCTGTGTCATAAACCAGGGATCCGCTTTGGGTCCCAGAATCATTCCTTGGATTTCCTAGATGACACATGTCCCTTAGTAGAACCTTTACTGGGATGTTGCTGTCGTGGCAAAACAGATGTATAGGACTGGGGGAGGGGAAGCACCTGCCCCGTGTCAGGTGGGCAGTGGGAGCCTCAGGTTCTGCCAGAAGAGTCCAGAAATCTGGGTTTTAATGGCATTTTCAGATTTTTACAATTAGTGGCCAAGTATGTTTTTAGAAACTTGTGTGGGCCAAGAAAAACCGGCCTGTGGGCTGTCTGTGGCTTTGCCAGGGTGTAGAACGGCTTTCTCCCTGTTCAGAGTGAAGCAGCTGCTGCCCTGAGCGTGTGGCACTGGCGTGGGTAATACCTGTTCGTCTCTTGGGCAGGCTGTAGTCATTAGGAAGCATCTTCCAGACCATTGGCCGAGGATAAGGATGTGCCTGTGGAGTACATTTCTCTTGGTGAGAGACTCAGTGATCCAAAGAGATTCGGAAATGTCTCCCTTGGGCCCTTCAGCAGGGGCATCCAGCCAGCTGAGCTCAACCACGGACCAGTGGTGCGAGCAGAGCGTTGTAGATAACAGACGTCCTCCCTCCCTCCCTCCCAGAGGGTCCAGGGGCCCCAGCCCGTCCTGCAGAACCTCTTCTTTCTTCGTGGTCCAGTGGCGTGACTGGGACACTTGGGCGTCCGGAGCTGCCGAGACCCGAAAGGTCTCTCCGCTGGTCCCCTGCTTTGTCTCTGACAGTTTATCTGACTGTGTCCAATGACAGCATTTTGCTCACAAGGACGTATCAGAAGATTAAAAGAAAACAACAGCCCTAACTGTTACTTATACCCTTGCCTCTTAGACAGTGGGTACGGAAGATAATTTAAGCCTTTCTTGCTGAGTCATGTTATCCAGAGATACCTCCATTTTAAAGACAGTTTCTGAATAAATAATTACTATTTATTGTTGTGAACTGGTGCCATAATAGGTATTAACATTATTTACACACACAGTTGAAATGAGGTGGTGACTTTGAACTCTCTTGGGGGTGTGTAGGGCTCTTTGTTCCTACTGTTAATAGTCAGCGGACTGCTTTGGTTTTTGGTTTCTATGCCTGCGGGAAGTTGACCAGGCACTGGAGTAAGTAGACTCTGAGGCATCAGTGTTCGTTACTTAGGGGCTTTCCATAAAAATGTCTGCCTCCAGGTACCGAAATGCATTTCAGACAGTTGCATGAGTTTTGCCAGACAAATGATTGTTGACTGTTTTTCTTTTTTACCTTCATTCCTGATTCAGACTTTTTTTGTATCCTTGAGAGCTAATGAGCTTTCCTCGGCTGTCGTCTTAAAAATTCTTATGGGAAACCTTTCCCTCCGTGTGGGTGAAAATCACTCAGTTCCATGCTGGCTCTAGGGAGAGCTGTGTTTGCAGGCCCCCACGACGCTCCTGTCTGATCCTCCCTTCCTTTGCTGTGTCCCCGCTGTAGTCCGACCCTGACCTCCCGGCAGACGCCCAGACGCCGTCTTCTGCTGAGCTGAGCCGCTACCCGGGCCTGCCCTTCCCGGCCCCCCAGTACGTCCCGCCCCAGCCGTCCATCGAGGAGGCGCGCCAGACCATGCACTCCCTCCTGGACGACGCCTTCGCCCTGGTGGCCCCCAGCAGCCAGCCTGCCAACGCTGCAGCTGCAGGCCCCGGGGTCCCAGCCAGCCTGCCCGTGAACAGCACCCCTTCCCGGGAAGAGAGACGAGCCACCCAGTGGGGGTCCTTCTACAGCCCAGCTCAGACGGCCAACAACCCGTGCGGCGTAAGTATGGGCCTTCTGGCACTCTCTGGTCTGGAGCTGTGTAGATGCTTTCCCTCGGAGTCCTCTCACTGCGTTAAACGCCCGTGGGAGCTGTCGCCGTCTTGCACCAGGATGATGGGGAGAGCTTCCTGTTGTCTCCCTGCCTCTGGACTTGAATCTAGGATGTCGGGGTGGTGGCTGACTAGTAAAATGTTGTTCATGGGTGTTAACCGGGCCAACACGCTGAGAGGCCAACACAAGATGAGCCCTCTGGGTGACAGGAGGTCTCGTATCGGTTACAGGTGTGCAGCATAGCGGTTAGACAGTCGTATACTTTACAAAGTGTTCCTTCTAGTATTTTCCGAGCCCACCTGGTAGCACACATACTTATTACGATATTATTGATTGCCATCCCTGTGCCCTGCGTCCCCAGGACTGTTCTGGAACTACCGGTCTGTACTTCTCAGTCCCTTCACCTTTGTCGCCCAGTCCCCCAGCCTCCCTCCCCTCTGGCAACCATCAGTCTCTTCTCTGTAGCTATGAGTCCGTTTCTGTTTTGTTTGTTCGTTTATATTGTTCATCAGGTTCCACGTGTAAGTGAGATCATATGGTATTTGTCTTTCTCTGACTGGCTTACTTCACTGAGCATAATACCCTCTAGGTCCATCCATGCTGTGGGAAAGGGTAATATCTCATTCTTTTTTATGGCCAAGCAGTATTCTACTGTGCATATGCTTCACAACTTTTTTATCCGCTCCTCTGCTGACGGGCACTTGGGTTGCTTCCACGTCTTGGGTGTCGTGAGTAATGCTACAATGAACATAGGGATGCATGCATTTTTTCTAATTAGTGTTTTGAGTTCCCCTTTTCTGACTTGAACTTGTTTGCTGCTGGCCTCTACTTGTCACCTCTCTCTGCTCCCAAGGCTCCTCGCACTTCCCGTGAAGAAGTCTGTGGCCATCTTCGAGTCCCCCCTTTCTTAGAGGGGAGGTGTGTGCCCAATCTGCCAGGAAGCCTAAGTAGTTCTTGTCGCTTAGTAAGTTTTCATCCCCCCCCCGCCCCCAAAATAACCAGTATTCAATTTATCTTCCGAGTCAGCTCTTTCATTCAATTCAGGAAAACTTTATTTTAGTTCTGGAGTAATTTTCTTACTCTGTTCCTTTTATTGGAATCAAGGGTAGTATCTTTGTGGGTTTTCTCTATCCACCACTTTATCTCTTAATTGCTTTAGCTACTTTGTCCTTTTTTCTCTGCCTCTCTGCCTTCATTATGATTCTCAGGGGCCTTTTCTCTGTGACATTCACTTGATTTTAAGCCACATCTGTACTTTTCCCTGCTGACTGATTTCTTAAGAGTCACGGTGGCATGATGTTGGTCCTCGAATTGCTTCCACCACCTCCAGGCTCCCGTTTCAGGTCGTTTTGTTGTTTTATCAGCTCGTCGTTGAACTTCAAAAAAAAAAAAAAAAAGAATTGCTATTTTTATAGTTCCAAGTACTTGTAGAGAATCTGACTGCTACTTGCATTTTCTCCCAGACTGGGTTGTCTTTTGTGGATGTTCATTTTTGAAACTTTGTTTGTTTGTTTGTTTGTTCACTCGGTGGCGGCAGCGTGTTCACAGACCTGTTGTGCTGTTTCTTTGCAGTTGAGACGGGTTGGTCTTCCCTAACTCCGCTGTCCTTTGCTAGGATGTGGTTGAATTCACCTTTGTATTTTTCTTACTTTCTTTGGGACCTGCTGCATGCTCGAGGATTCGTCATGGAGCATGCCCGCCTGACGTCATGGAGGATGGGGAAGGGCGGGGCCTGGTGAGGGCGGGTCCGGCCCTCCTTGGGACTTTGTGCCCTGCCGGCAGCTCTTCCGTGGTCTTGCCGCACCAACACTGTCCTACCCTGCACGCACGCACCCAGCTGGAGTGCGGTGCACCCCAGTGAGCTGCTGTTCCATCCTGGTCAGACACAGGACTTGAAAGGTGGGGCAAGACTTGGTGGTTCTTCCTGCTTCTCTTGATGTCCTGTTGTCCTTTTAGGGATTTCTACTATCTTATCTTTCCCTTAATTCCTCCCCTCCTATCCTTTCCAGTACTGCTTTTGAACCCCTCCCTCAGCCACCGGCTTTCCACATGGGAAGGTAATTCTGCCTATTCCGGGGCTGGAATAGGCAGAATTAGGAGCCACATTGTGCTGCCAGAATCTTTCGGGGTTTTTTCCCCCTTGGCCACCACTTTTCGCAGCTTGTGACATGGTCCTGCTCCATTTACCTGTGTGGTTGCTGCTGATGAAGTCTATCGGCCGTCCTCACAGATGTGTTCACAGCTGTTGGAGGTGAATGATTCTGTGATAATGCCTTAATGGATCACCTCAACTAAGAACTTCAACCCATAGCATGATTTTAATAAATGTTCTTATTAAATGGTTTTCTCATCGTGGATGTTACCCTTACGTATTTTGATGAGAGTGATAGCAGTCTGATGTAGTAGGAAATGAGAGTCATTGGTTGTAGCTGTGTATATCCAGTATGATTTCAACAGGTTTATGAATTGGTCACGAAGGTGCTGTTTGTTGCCAGGAGGAGCCTGGTCCCCCTTTGTTTGCTTCTCCTGACCACGCCCAAAACTACAGGAGTGTGGGTGTCAAAGTGCCTTCAGTTACCCCGGGAACCTTGACTTGCCATCTGGTGGCGTTTTTGCTCCTTTCTGCCACCGCAAGGGTGTTAGTTATGCACTGGCGAGTCAGGTCGCTGGTTGGGTAGTATCTCTGCTTCTCTGAGTAGAGTTACCCTCCCCGGACTAGTCCGGTCAGTGGCAGGTGTGGGCACCCGAGCTAAGACCTTACAGGCAGGCTCACGCCAGACCCATTAACCGTTTGGCTCACCTGTCTTGCTCTGTTGGACGGTTCTTCAAAAGAAGGGACATGTTAAAATGTGACTTGGGTTGACCTTGCTGATCAAAACCTTCAAATTCTATTTTGTCCCTCAAACTTTCCCACAGGTGGGACTCGTTTGAAGTAAATAAATGCCCACCATTCTGTCTGTGTCTTTTTTTTTTTTTTTTTTACAGAAACCTTTTCACCGGGGCACACAGTGTCTAGAAAAGTAACCCTTTCTGACTACAATAGAGTTTAAATGCCCAGCCCTGCGATAATAAAACACAGAATGGGCAGCTTTTTCACTGTTTCCCTTTTAGTTTATCTCGTATTAGACACCCCCTCCCCCGAAATCCCAACAGGTAATCTGCTAAGCCTTGATCTTTTTTGTTTTGTTTTGCACATGAATAGGTTTTAAAAATCCAAACTGTACTCAATAATCTCTTCCCACTCTCAGATTTCCCTTTACTTATTTGGAAAGACAATTGAAGCTTCTTTTCCTTGTATTCCTCCCTTCCTCCACACCCCCCCTTGGCCTGTTTTATCTCGGCAGGGGAACTTGACAGCGTTGTGATCTCTCTGTCTGCCGGGGGGATGGGAACGGGGAGGGTCAGGAGGTGAGGGAGCAGATTTGTGTCTAATAAAGAAAGCCTTGGGAGCTGTGTGAGGCGTGGAGCCCGCTCAGTCTGTGGCATAAGGCACCAGGCCCAGGGTGGTCAAGTAGCTTGGCTGGTCCGTCTAGCTCCAGAGCATATACATTTTCCAGACAATGGAAATGGAACTAAGGACGAAAGTTCGGTGTTGGGACCCACTGGCTGTGTGGTACGGTGGGTAGTTAGAAACATGGTCTTTGGAGTCAGAAAGACAAGTTTGGAAGAAATCACGTAACTTCTTTGTGAGTCGGTGTCGTCTGCACTGCAGCGGGACTGAGCCCTGTTCTGGGGTTCCGGCGGGCCTGAGCTCGTGCTCACAGCGCGTCTGCTACCAAATACTAGTTCAGTGAATGGCAGCTTGGAAAAAGAAAAAAAGGTCTACTATTAGAGCAGGTCCGGAAACAAGGCTGACTTAGTGACTGAACTCGGAGCTCGACCCTGGACAAGCAGTGGGTTCAGACTGACTCGAGTTGGGGGCCGCTCTGTCCAGAGTGGCTGTTCTCTGCAAAATGACTGGATTCCAAAAGAATGATTCACAGTCGTTGAGATGTTGAGGTAGGAGTCTTGTGTGTGTTAGGGTCAGGGTGTGTTGATCTCTTGAGGAATGCAACACAGATACATGTAGATGGACGTGTGTTTCTTTAGGGCCGAGGCCGTGCAGTGTCAGTCAGAGAGCACTTGGTTGGCTCACATCAGCCCCAGGAAAGGGAGCTGATTGAAGGCCATGGAGGCATCTTACGGAATTTCAGAGCAAAGGAGCAGGGCTGGGTGGACCTCCTGGAAACCAGAAGACGGCCAGAATCCAAAAGGGCTCACTTCACGTTTAAGAGCCTGATTTCTGCTTTATATTCTTTCTTGTTTTATAACGTGCTTCAGCATTTGCATAGTGGAGTTTCTGCAGCGTATTTGAATTGCTCCTGGGCGACCGTAAAATCAGGTGACTGTTGTGACCCAGGTGGATAGAGTCATTTGTCATAAAAGCGGGCCACTCCCATGTGCCTTTTTAGCAGAAGATCCAGATTTATTGAGAATGAGCCTGTAAGGAAGAGCAGGCACAGAAATCCTATTATTTCTATTTTTACTAAAGAAAGAAACGTCTAGAAATTAATTGTGTGTTTTTTGAAGTCTGGGAGCCCAGTTCTCCAAATAAATCCCTGGCATGACCGGATGGCAGAGAGCCCCAGAAGCATGCTAACTTTTTATGAGAAAATAATTCTGTTGAAAGTTGACCCGTGAACCTGAATTTGTAAGTTTGCTGTTGTCGCCTTCTAATAAGCCTTTACTATTAATCTTCCTCTTCTTTGAATTTCTTCCAGAGATACGAAGACTACGGGATGACGCCCCCAGCAGGCCCATTGCCAAGGTAAACTTTTCAGGAGAAAATGTATTAGGACTTCCTCATGCAGGCTGTTTTTTTTTTAAAAATTCAATTCTCTAACTCATTTTCGTAGCTAGCATGAGCAGAGGCAAAACTCTCGAGTTGCTCGAGTTGCAAAACTCTCTGGTTTCTCAATCTAACCAGAAGAGGAGAAAAAAAAGTTAGAATTGAAGTTCTGCAAACAGCGATGCCAGACTAGGTAATGTGCAGAGGACAACGGGAAAAGTTAGACAAGATTTAAAAATAAAAATACAAGACCCAGAGAGCTTAGTAGGACAGGGAAGCGGTGTGGGGCCGAGATCCAGCAAATCCAGAGAGGCGGTCCTGCCGTTGGGGCCGCTTGTCTCCCGGGGCACCTGCAGACGCTGGAGGTGGTGGCTGAGAAGCTGAGCAAAGCTTTTGACAGACTCCTGGGGCTGGGAGCACTAGGAGGGCAGGTCCCTGCAAACCGCGAAGGTTTGGGCTCAGGCCCTTAGGGGGTATTCCTTGGAGTCAGGGTTCATGGAAAGTAGATGGGTCCCTACAAGAACTAAACCTCAGCTTCGCATGAGATCTCAGGCCCTGATGGGTCGAGGGGACCAGACGTTGTGCGTCCTTCCAGCTGCCTGGCTGAAACAAACGTGATTCTGCTTCACAGGAAGATGGTACCATATTAGGCCTGCCACCACCCTTATTGTTTTGCACGAGGTCGAGCACACAGACAGACACAAACAGCCCAGCATAGGTGTCAAGATTGGATTTGGAAAACGACACTTGGCTTACAAGAGACAGGAGGAGACGGAAAGGATAGGAAATGTGACCAACGTGATTAATCAACTTGACCTACTCGACACATAGAGAACACAACTGAATAGCCACAAAATGCACATACTTTTAAGGCACAAGATTTAAAAAATTTTACCATTTTCTGGGCCATAACAAATCTTAACAAATTTGAAAGAATTGAAATCACTCAGAGTATGTTTGACGAGTACAGTAAAATTCATTAGAAATCAATAATAAAAGATAACGAGAATATCCCTATATATTTGCATATTAATCAGTACCCTTTCTAAGTAATTATGGTATACTGAAGAAATCACATTGGAAATTAAAATGCATCTTGAAATGAATAATTAATGAAAATACAACATATCAAAAGTTGTGGGATGCATTGAAAGCCATGTTTAGGAGGAATTTGATGTCTTAAATGCATATATTTGAAAAAAAACAGCTGAAAATTAATCATTTAAGCCTCCATTTCAAGATGTTAAAGATTCAATTAGAACTAAAGGAAGGAGAAGGAAAGAATAATAAAAATAAGAATAGAAATGAGTCAAATGGAAAATCAGGGTCATAATAGAGAGGATGAAAGGAACTGAAAGTTCTTTGAAAAAGCTAATAAAATTGATAAACCCTTGGAGAACTTGATCAAATCTTTAACATTATCTGTATGAGAAATTAAAAAGGACCTATCGGCCCAGATATTACAGAAATGAAAATGACCTTAACAGATTTTAAAAAGACTTTCTGAACGTATTTTTATTAACAAATTTGAAATGGAAAAATTCCTTGAAAGGGAAAACCTGACTAACCAGACAACTATTAAAGAAACTAAAATCATAATTAAAGTTACTCTCACAAAGAAAAGTCTGGGCCCAGGTGGCTTCAACAGTGACTCCTACCAAACACTAAGGGAAGGAAAGATGCCCGAGTCACCATACAGGTTTTTCTGAACAATAGAAAACGAGACCGGCATAACCTTAATACCAAGGACAACACAAGGCCAAGGACATTGCATGGAAGGAAACATTAAGGGCCAGTTTCACTCATGAACACAGATACAACGAACTCAAAATTAAATATCAGCAAACATATCCAGCAATATGTATAAAAAGATACCGCATCATAACCAGAGTAGATTTGTTCCAGCAGTGCAAGGGCGAGTTAGTATTAAAAAAAATCAATCCATGTAATTTACCACTTTGAGTAGAATAAAGGAGGAAACTCTTTTTGTTTCAACAGAGGCAGCATTTAATACAACTTAACATGCATTTATGGTAACAATCTTGGCAAACAAAAACTAAATGCAAATTAATCTAATAAAAGTTATCGGTGAAATGTAAAAAGTTCTTTTCTGAGACCAGGAGCAAGACAAAGATGCCTGCTGCGTTACTTTTATTAACTGCCTTGGGGAACCTATCCAGTGTAATAAGGCAAGAAAAAGAAAGATGAAGGAATTCAGAGAGAGAAATAATATAGTACTATTCACAGGTGATATAACTTTGTAGTAGAAATCCCAAAATGTCAATATATAAATTGCTAGAATGAAGGAAATTTAGCGAGATAGCTAAATAGCAAGCTAGCTAAATTATGGGGTGGCTGGATATAAGATCAGCTTATAGAAACCTGTTTTATTCATGTTTATGAGCAATAGGCAGAAAATAACAAAATTTAAAGATACTATATAAAATACCATTAAAATATAACATACCTGAGAATAAATATAACCAAAGTTATTCAACGTCTCTAAAGAAACATGTTCATGGATTGGACACCCAATATTTTTAAAATGTCAGTTCTCTTCAAGTGATTGATAGATTCATTGTAATCCTGTTCAGAATCTCAGTAGTTGTTGCTTTTTTAATTTGTGGAAACTGACAAGCTGATTCTAAAACTTATGTGGAAATGCAGAGGGCCAAGAATATCCAAGACCTCTAAGAAAGAAGAATAAGATGTTAGGACTATTCTAAGTATTAGAAACCACTGTCAGGTGATTAAGACAGTGTGGTATTGCTGTGAAGCTGGACCAGCGGGATGACTACAAAGTCTGCAAACAGACCTACACACGAGTAGACTATTGATTTATTAAGAAGAAGGAATTGCAGAAAAACAATCTCAGAAATTATACTCCGCTGTCCTTCAGTGACCAGGAGTCACCCAGCAGTAGGAACGCTCTACCTGCTTCCTCGTTCTTTTTTTCTGTTAGTTTCTGTATGCTCCCTCATTTTCAGAGGGGCTTGTTTTATTTCTCCGCAACTGCACTCCCCTGCCCAGGTGCTGCTTTGTGGTCCCAGAACAACACAGGCAGAGGCACCACGTGGAGCTCAGGTGATCCAGGGGAGAGTGAGTGACAGGGGACCGCGTGATCTGGTTCACCTGGTTCAGCTCCAGTTTATACCTGTTGTCCAGCGTAATTATTAATAATTTCCACTCTCCAAAGGGTTCCGGTTTGGATGAGCAGCTTCACGGTCACCCAGGTTAAAGGAGTCCAGAGTGCTTGCATCATACCGGATGACCTGAGCACACACTTCAGGGTGAAAGGGCTGCAGACACAGGCAGGAGGGGGCTCACTGACTGGGGTCAGGTGGAAATCACGAAGTGGAGGGTGAGAGCTCGTTCGTGGGTGGACCGCCCAGAGAATGTAGTGAGGTTAGGCGAGCCCCAGGGAGCAGACTTACTGTGTACTAAGCTTCAGACCCGTCAGGTCAGAGATGCCAGATGTCTCTCTCTGAGGCCCATCTGAAACGGCAGCAGTTATTCGAAGAGAGGAGTGCAGAGGGCCTGCCTGCCTGGGTTTCAGCTGCCGAGATGCTCTCCAGAAACAACACTGAGCAGCAGGGGCGAGCCAGCCGCTGTCTCACCGAACCGGCTGGAGCTGTTGAGCCCTGGTTGACTGTCATTTGCAAAGCATTGCCCTTAGACTATCCTCTTCTTCTAATTCTTGAGTTTCTTTGGAGGAGTGGTTCTCAAGTGGGATTCGGCGAGCCCTGGAGAGTCCTTGCAACCCTTTCAGGGGGCCCACGAGGTCAAAACTATTTTCCTAATAATACTAAGATGTTATTTGGTGTTTTTTGTTGTGTTGACGTTTGCACAGAGGTGCAAATGCCATGGTGAGTGCAAATGCTGGTGCCTTAGTGTCAATCAAAACAGCAGCACCACGTTGTTCAAGCTGCCGTGTTCTCACCACTGCACAGCCACCATTTCCAAAAAAAAAAAAAAAAGCCAGGCTGATGTTAGTATGTCCTTGATGCTATAGTAAAAGGGATTAATTTTATTAAACCTAAACCCTTGAGTCTTTAATAGTCTGTGTGACAACAGAGGAAATACACATAAAGCACTTTGCCGAATATGGAGTTTTGGAGGAAAAGCTGTGTTCCAGTGTGTGAGTTGAAAAATGAACTAATTGCTGCCATGTTTTTGCCCGAACCAGCAACTGGCAGGCATCCTTGCTCAAAGCGGGTGTCTGGCAGGCGCTGTCTTGGAAATGACCAAGGTGGGCGTGTCACTTCAAGAAAAGCAATGACGGTATCTGTTGCCAGTGATAAAATGGAGCTGTCAGATGAAAAATCAGAGTTTTGGAGACTTTTGTCCACGACCCTGAACTTGACAGTGTCCTAGTACTTCAAGACTCCACTGATGAGCTCGGTGGTGATATTAATGAGTGTGATTTCTTTAATACCATAAAATGAAATGTATTGATAATCTAGAAAGTCTGTAGAACACAGTGAACTAATATTTTCCAAATAACCATGCCATTAAATCGTGTGGGTCTATTCCAAGTGCAAGACACACCAGTGGGTTTTAATCTGACAGCATGTGAAAAGCTCTGTTGGTATTGTTTCACATTCCACATTGCCACTGACCCTTGGAAAACCTTTGTGGAGTTTTGGTGTGCTATTGAAGAAGAATACTTATCTGAAATACATTTAATATTGTTATTTTAAATGTATTTTTAAAACAGTATTTATCAGTCCTCAGTTTTAACTTCAAACGCAATAAATATCTATAGATATAATACACATACATAAAAGTGCTTGGGGATCCTTGGTATTTTGTATGAATCTAAAGAGATTCTGAGGCCAAAAAGTTGAAGCACCACTGCTTTCGAGCACTGGTTTTCAGCCTCGATGAACTTCAGGATCGTCAGTGGCACTTTAAAAACGACTGTGTCTGGGTCCCACCTCTGGGGATCCTGTCTGACCTGGTCTGGGGAATACAGTGTGGGCACTGGGGCTTTTAAAAGCTCCCCAGGCGATGCTAATGTGTCTCCAAGCTTGATAACGGCTGCTTGAGTTGGACACCGGAGGTGAGCCAGCCCTAGAACTTGACTGCACCTTCTTTTGACCTGTAAATGGAAGCATTTCTTCTTCCACCATCCTGCGGAGATTTTTCAGGCATCGGCTAGTGCCGACCTGAGGCCAGGAGACTCGGCCATGAGCAGGTAGAAAGTGGACTATGAGTCAGTAGATGGATAGGTCTCATTTTTCCAGGGGGCTGAGGGTGCACCTAATCAAGTACGAGAGCTGGGTACGGTGTGGTCCTGATGCTTGGTGTGCTCTGCCTTCAGATCTGGTTTTAGCCCCAGTTTGCTGCAGTCCTCGGAGCTGGTGCCTCCCGAAACCCAGCAGCCTCAGGCATCCGCTGAAGCCCCGTTCGCTGCCCGAGGGATCTACTCCGAGGACATGCCATCGGTGGCCCGGCCTCGGCCCGTCGGGGGTACCACAGGTACGTGTGGTATTTAGCTTGCATTTCTGAACTGGAGGACGCCTGCTTTCTGGCTCCATTCTGGCAGGGTGCACTCTGGACGAGCCAGGGGGTCAGTGCCCCAGGGTTCAGCCTCTTCTGTTGGTAGGAGCTGCTTTCCCTGTGATCCTGGTGAGATGCAGGGCAGGGCAGGTGGGAACACAGGGAGAAGCTGAGGCCCCAGGGCTGATGCCCCCTGATTCTCTCCTGAACCAGCATCTCAGCAGCGTCCCTGGGCCTGGAATTCATAGTACACTTCTTCCAGGGAAAGCAGTTCTAAATTCTTAGAGTTAAACTGAAAGATCTATTTCTGATCACTTGTTCTGGCATTTAAACAGGTCTCTAAAATTTGCTGGACAGTGATTGGGAGGAGATTTTTGTTTATTTGTGGGAGGGTACAACCACTGATTGCTTCCTGAGCCTCACCTCCCTCATTTTTTTCCCCCTTCTACCTTTGTTAATATGATCATCTTCCCTTTTAAAATTTTCTTGCCATTTTTTCTCATGCCTCTGTGCCTGAGTCCAGCTGTCTCCTGCCTGCTGCCATTCACGAGGCCTGGGGGAAGCTGTGGCCACGTGGAATTGTTTAGTTTCTTTCCGTCCCTCTTTCCAGCGCTCATTAAAGGAACGATCTTAGTATCATTTGTGGGTAACTAGTGCAGCCCTTTACTTACTAATTCAACAGTGAAAAGTCACTTTTGTCAAAGTGACAAATGATCTTCTAATTCATGATCAGACTTTTAAGTATTTGCACACAGCTTTTCTTTACTTTTAGTATTTAGGTTTCCTTTAATTACCTGTTGAAATTCAAACAAAAATTGACACCATAATATCTCCAATAGGAAATATAAATTCTCAGTTTATGTTTTTAAAAGAACATAGTTCAAAGTGTCTAACTTCTGGAAATTTTGAAGCCAGAGAGAAAATGAGTTGTGTTAAATTTCTTGTTTCAGAAAATTCTAATCGTAGCCCGACTGGTGTGGCTCAGTTGGTTGGGTGTCATCCCACAAAGCAAAAGTCACCGGTTTGGGGCACGTGCCAAGGTTGCAGGTTCAGTCCCGGTTGGGGAGTGTATGAGAGGCAACCGATCAATGTTTCTCTCTCACATGGATGTTTCTCTCCCTCCCTCCCCCTCTCTCTAAAAAATATTTATATGTATACATTTTTTAAAATTCTAAAAATTAGAATTAGTTGATTTGAGAAACATGCGTAATTTGGTTTACTAATAAAAGTGTAATATTTAGTACATTTAATGTAAAGATACAGGATTTTTAAAAGATATTTTATTTGTTTATTTTTAAAGAGAGGAGAAGGGAGGGAGAGAGGGAGAGAAACATCAATGTGCGGTTGCCTCTCATGTGCCCCTTGTTGGGGACCTGGCTTGTATCCCAGGCATGTGCCCCGACTGGGAATTGAACCAGCCACTCTTTGGTTCACAGGGTGGCACTCAATCCACTGAGCCACACCAGCCAGGGCAAGGATGTTTTTTTAGACCACAATTAAAATTTAGGGATTAAATCTCTTTTCATGTATTCATTTTTGTTTTTTTAGAAAAGAGCTCAAACCACCTGTATTTTTGAGACGCATGTCACAATTTAAGATAATGAGAAGCCTTAGAACTTCAGTAAAGGGAAAGAGAAATAATGTTTGGTGAACTGAGTGTCCTCAGTGATGACATCTAGATAAGAAGTAAACATATTTTCAGAAAATTAGTTGAGAAGAAAAGAAAAAAAATACATTTGTTTTAAAGTCTCCTGGGAGTTTTGCACTAATATTTGAGCCCGGAACAAATTCTCATCAAGTTCAGTAGATGCTTGATGTTTGAGGGATTTATCCTGAGATCTTATAAATCCCCAAATTTCAAATGCTGCTGTACCTTCCACTTGATTTCCCTAATCGGTCCAACAGAAGTGAGTGGACCAGCTGCAGGCTCCCCTGCAGACCGACGGTGAGAGACGCTGCTGGTGGCTGACAAGCAGCACCTAGCATGCTCGGCTGACTCCTGCATGGCAGTTGGCTAGTCTTCCTCACCTGCTTACCTGAGATCCTGTCTTGTACCCCCAAATTACAGATTACTGTTTTATGTGTCACAGAACGTCATCTCCTGAGTTGTTGATGCCGTGAAAGCTGTATTTATGCATGTCGTTCAGTGTTCCTAAAGCATCTGTGTAGGTGAAGATGCTGAGCTCTTGCTGTTGCTTGCAGAGCTCTGCAGGCTCTGAAAAATCCTCAGTTATCACCCATCTGACTGTGTTGTATTGCAAGGGCTCCAGGTCACTCTTATTTCCTCCATTCACTTCTTCACCCTCCTTTTTGAAGGCCGAAGCTTTAAGAAGAGGGGCTATTACATGTCAAATGATGTATTTTGCTAGTTTCTGACTTTCTGAGAATATACACCTTTATAATGCCATCAAGAAACTAGACTAGGCCAATTCCAAATTTGCAATACTTAGTGGGTGATTATCCACGGTCTCCTAGGCAGTTCTTGGATTTTGCATTGTCTGTCTGTCTCCTAAACAAACAGCATAGCCTGATGCCCCACAGGATCTTCCGTACCTTACACGTGCTGTGCTTTGCAGTGAGTCTTATTTCTCCTGTTAATTGTTGCCTAGCACATACTCCAAACAAAATTCAGACCTATTCATTTTTAATCTATAAGAATATAGAAATTATATGTATGAAACATTTAACGAGAAACTTATTTTATAAACTTTCTCGTTTATAATTTGTAATGGATTAAATTGTGTAAAAATTTGTAATGGAAAACATTAAAATATATTAGAAGAGTTCCCTTTTTGACTATATAAAACTATCAAATGTGTGTATATCTAAAAAATTACCAAAGAAAAAAGGAAAATAGTGCCTAGGGAAGATTGGCAGCAGGTATGACCAAGAGGTATTTTATTACAGAGGATGGTTCATGTAAATTGATGAATGGACAAACCTCAAAGGACAAGAAAGATAAAGGGTCAAAATACAAGAAGAAAATGCACCAAAAAATGTGTGTGTACCACGTAAAAGTACATATAATGAAAAACACTATTTTGAAAATGATTCAATTTGACATGCAAATTAAAACCATGATGAAGCCCCACTTTGACTATGGGATGGTTTTCATAATCAATGAAATTGTGTGCTGAAATTAGCATCTGGTTTCGTTACCTGTACAAAGGGAGTAATATTTGTACTTGCTTCCTATGGTTGTTTTCATGATTAAAGAAGATAATAGATATCAAGTCCTTCGAGTAGTGCCTGGCACATGATGAACTTTCAATAAGTATGAGCCGCCATTATTATTATTACTATTATATTATTTCTGGTGTTTGTGTAAATCATTAGACTTTTGGAAAGCAGCTTGGCATGGACATAAGGAGCTTTTGATTTGGTGATTCCACTTCTGGGAATCTAGGCTGCCACCCCCCAGGGAAATGCACACTATTGGAGAAAAACCCCATGTGCAAAGAAGTTTATCAGAGCATTATTCACCAACCATTGTGAGCTCCCTAAACACCCAGCGAGAGGGGCCTCAGTGAGGAAATTGTGCAGCAACCTAAGATGAAGGGCTCAGAAAGAGCCAGCAAAAGAGAATTTGAGTTTTCCGGGCTGCCTCCTTTGTGTTTGCTGCTTGACCTACTTTATCTCTTTTAATCCTTGAAATAACACCAGGAGGTAGATTTATTTTTGATCCCACTTGAGAAGCGAGGCATTGAGGCTCAGCGGGAGTGATAGCCGGTGCCCAGGGTCATGGGGCTGGTCCATGGCAGGGCTGGTCCATGGTGGGTGGTGGGGCCGGAATGCAAACCTGGCTTGCTGGGCGCGATGCCCCACATCGGATCGTGGGGGAGGCCTGTGTGTTGTGTCATTAAGAGAGCAGAGCAAGATACAAAATGTGTCTGAAATACAATTTCAACTACCATCGCGATGTTAACACGAAGGTGTTCTTTTCTCCCTGTGCTGTTGCCTGAATCTGTAAATGGTGGCGAACACTGTGCTGAATTTATGCTTTTTGCAAGATTCTCTAAAACCGTATCTGTTGGGCAAACGGAACCGATAGCCCCAATCGCTGTGATACTGGTATGAATCTTCACTGACTGGCAAGGTTGCCTGCAGAGCGCACTGTTCTGACAACAGCCCAGAAGGGGTTTTTTTTCCCCTGACCTTTAGTTTTTAGTTTTTACTGTATATCCTGATGAAATTGTGGAGGAATTCTTTTTTTTTAAAGGATTTTTTAAAAAATATTTTTTTATTTATTTTTAGAGAGGGAAGGGAGGGAGAAAGAGAGAGAGAAACATCAATGTGTGGGTGCTGGGGGTCATGGCTGCAACCCAGGCATGTATCCTGACTGGGAATCGAACCTGTGACACTTTGGTTCACAGCCCGAGCTCAATCCACTAAGCTACGCCAGCCAGGGCTGGAGTTCTTTTTTAAAAAAAAAAATGTATTTGGGTCCTGGCTGGCATAGCTCAGTGGATTGAGTGTGGGCTTCGAACCAAAGTGTTGCAGGTTCAATTCCCAGTCAGGGTACATGCCTGGGTTGCAGGCCATGACCCCCAGCAAACTGTACATTGATGTTTCTCTCTCTCTCTCTTCCTCCCTCCCTTCTCTCTCTAAAAATAAATGAATAAAATCTTTTAAAAAATGTATTTGGTTAAGGGAGGCTGTTAATTAGATAGCTAGAGAAGGAGGAGGAGACTCAAAGTTGGAGAGGGCCGCCCCCCCCTTGCCCCTGTGAAATCCCGGGACCATTGTAGGGCCAGTCTGAGCATCCCAGATGAGTTGGGTGACCCTAGGGGCATTTGGTGATAAGCACTTTTATTTCACAGTGCTTAAAGATCACTTTTTGTCTCACTTAGCCTGCAGAATAGGGATGTTGCCGCATGCCAAAAGTTGATGGGGGAGAAAAATACGTTGGCTAATGCCCGGTCTTCCCAGCCACGCAAGGCTTCAGCATGTGGGAATGTAGAGGGTGGAGCTCGGAGAACTTTCTGGCTTTGTCATCAGTACGCCTCACCCGAGAGGCTGGGTGGGCGGCTTTAAAGTTTTGATGGTGTGATATAGCCGAGTTACGGAAACACTGTGAATATAATGAAAATACACTTTAACATTATGAATTCAAATAAATATGCACGCTGCCTTTGAAGCAAAAAAGCAGATCGTGTTTTGGGCTCCTTGTGCGTCTCGAAGCCACAAGCAAGAAGGAGCCAGGTTTTAGCTTCTTTATGGCTCCAAAACCTTCCCATCCTTTCCTCTTAATGAATAAGAGTGTCCGTATTGGCAGCCTCTGCGGAAATGAATGGAAGAGCTGTCTATTCATGCTATTTATGCCCGGTCCTTTGGTGTCTAGCCAGGGAAAGAAGGCCATCGATATCAGCCAGTGTGTTAAAAGGAGTAAAAGCCCGTGAGCCAAGAAGCTCGCAGTCTAGTGTCTCTGTCCCTAAGGGGGTGTGGTGGTCACAACCACAGGGCCCTACTGGGCAGCTTCCTTTTCCGGCTGTGTTCACCAGGTGGTTCTCTTTTCTCCCTTCAGGCTCCCAGATCCAGCACCTGACGCAGGTGGGCATTGCGAGCAGAATCGGAGCGCAGCCTGTGGAGATGCCACCCAGCAGAGGCGGCCAGTACGGGGGCCCAGGCTGGCCTTCGTACGGGGAGGATGAGGCGGGCCGGAGAGAAGCCGTGAGTATCTGGTGTTGGGGTCGCCACTGAGAGTTCGCACATAATCACTTCGTTCCGCTGCTTCTGCTTTGGGGACCCCTTTTGAAGAGCTGCGTGAATTAAAGTTTTAAGCTCCCTCAGTTATTTTTCCCTGGAGTGTCTTTTTGCTTGCAGTTTTTAGATGGTGGATTTCCTCCGACCCAGGGTGCAAGAGTGCTGGCATTGACCTTCTGAAAAGAATATAGTTCTCCTTGAGGCAGACTTTAGGCTCGAAGTCATGATTTTTAAAAAAATAATAAAGGCATATTCATTAAAGAAGATCTGGTCCAAGACCAAAAAACAGTTCAAAAAATTTTTTTCCCAATTTTTATTGTGGTAAAATACACATCACAAAGTTTGCCATACTAACAGTTTTTCAGCGTACAGTCCATCGGTTTTCAGTACGTTCCTGCTGGTACGTGTCCATCGCCACCTCCCATACCCACAGCCTTTTTCATCTTGGAAAACTGAAACTCCGTCCTCATCAAACCCCGCCTTCCCATTCGTCCCTGTCCCCAGCTCCAGGCAGCCACCATTCTGCTTTCCGTCTCTGTGATTTTGGCTTTTACCTAGTGAATTTGAGCCTGGGGGTGACAGCAGTCTGGACTTGGTCTTTGGTGTGATCGCCACATAAACATTCACGTGCTTACATACCTCCTTGCTCACTGCTTGTGCCTTCCTGTGGGTTTTCCCCATCACACCCACGGTGAGCGCCACAAGGGGGTGGTTTTGCCGTAAGCGTGCCGTTTGGGGCATTGCGAGGCAGAGGGTTTGTTTTGAAGGTTTCTCATCATTCTGGCCACTCCTTTATGAGAACAGCATTAACATGAGCACAGGTAATTTCTACAAATGCCTTCCTTTGCTGTTTTTCTTTTTCTTTTTTTTAGAATTTTATATCCACGGGGGATAAATATATGAATTTGAAAATCCAAACCAAAATAACACTTTCTGTTTTATCCTCATCCTTATGCCACAACTTTCATTGCATGTGCATGCCTTTTGAGCAAGTAATGAGTGACTGGATGCTTTTACTTAAGGAAAGGAGATTAACTGTAGAGTGTAGTTTTTTCCTAACAGATACATTGTTTCAGATCTCAGGTGTTTGCTTTGTGTTTGCTGACATCTTCCCTTTTCCACCTTCACCGTGCCCCCTTGGTTTCCCGAGGTGTGTTGGGTGCTCCTGTCCCCTCTAGTGGGCGCACTGCGGCGTGCCGCACGCCCTGTCACTCTTTGGAAAAGCGAGACGTAGCAATGTTCTGCGGCCCAGACCCCATGTTTACCAAGCCAACCATTTACTCTTAGCATGGGTGAAACCCCAGGTTTAGAACCCATGTACCTATGCAAAGAGATTTTTCACTGGGAAGAAAAAATGAACAAAGTCACTTAAGAGTATAGTAATAATTATTCTTGTCAAACGGATGTCCAATTAGATTATGCAAATATAAGCAAAACTGTTGTAGGTTTCAGGGCAGTAGCTTTTTAAAGAAGAGCCTCTGCAGAGCACTCCACAGACAGACAGACAAAACGGCCAATGATGTGTGACCTCATTCCTGTTCCGTGGCCCTGGGGCCCTAGTCCCAGACAAAGGCAGCTCTTCTCTTTGTCAGCCACTCTGTCAGTAGCTGCATCTGTCTTCCAGCTGTCAGGGACCCCCATCTGACCTTTCCCCTCTGTGGGGTACTCTGGTCTCCCTTCCCTTCCAGCCCTCTGGGCCCCTTCCTGCTCGCCTGGCGACTGCTTACCTCCACACACACAGACACAGAGACTTGGCTGACCGGGTCATCCTTTCTGTCCGTCATTAAGCAAGTATTTATGAGGCACCCGTTAAGTTCAAGTTCAAGGGTTTCTTTATTGCTCTGCTCTCCCTTGGCTAGCTTCTTCACCACTATTACCTTCCGTTGCAGTCCAGAGGCATCCTAGCAGGGGGCTGACTTGTTGGGTAGGAGGTGGCGGGAGGAAGTCACCAGGGTGTGCCCACCTCCAGTTTGAATTTGATGCTTCCCTCCTGTTCTCGCGTGGGAAGTACAGCACCATGTGCCGTGTTTTGCAGACACACGTGCTCGGACATCAGGAGTATTCTTCTTCACCGCTGTTCCAGGTGCCAAGGACTTCAGGTAGGGAGCCCTCGGCGCCCCCGGGGAACACCCCGCATAGGGGGCTGCAGGGCGCCGGGCTGGCCTACGCTGCCAGCTCCACGGAGGACCTGCAGCCCGGCCACTCCTCGGCCTCGCTCATCAAGGCCATCCGCGAGGAGCTCCTGCGGCTCTCCCAAAAACAGACCGCCGTGCACAGCTTCCACAGCTGATGGGCCTCGCCTTGGACGTTTGCCAAGTATCCGCTTCCCGTGGAAGCAAGACTCACAGGAAACCAGCCGCGGGGGCGCCTGCAGGGGGACCAGCGCCTCCGTGGCCCCGGGCCCGCGGAAGGGAGCAAGTTGCAATTTGAGAAGATGCCGTATGTCACGTGGCAGCTCACGGAGCCTTTAATGAGTTGGCATTGTCGCGACCACCTGGGTTCAGTCGAGATTTCCATACTTCTTGGCCGAAAGCCAGCAGCACTCCCCGGAAGACAAACCACAGACCTCAGCCACCAGAATTCCCAAGCCCCGTCTCCGTGGTCACGGCGGAAGATGGACGTGTACGGAATGTGTAGGGCCGACGGGAACCCGGCGTTTCCGTGGGAAGACGTCTTCGAGGCTGGCTTGTACGACGTACCTGCTGCTTCGTTTTCTGAGAGGAGAGGCCGGAAGACGTTTTATGAACAGCTTACTTCCCTCTTGCTCCCCGTAGGAACTTATTTTACTAGTAACTTGAACGGTGAGGACCCTGAGACCGTTCGGGCATTTACAGAGCTACTAGTGAGGAACCAAATGATAGACCGTAGAGCCTGACAGTCCCAGTCGAAGCCATCGCCTGTGTCTCCCCTCCCACTTCTGGTGCTACCGCTCCCAGGCGCCCCACCGTCGTCACGTCCGTGAAACCGACTTTGGCTTTGTCAGTGGAAACATATGTCGAAGGTTTCGTTTTGTTCTAGAAAGAAAGAAAGAAAAAAAAAAAACCCTCCCAGATGAGGGGGGAGAGACGCTTACTATTTATTTGGTTGTTCCAAATACATGTCGAAGTTTAGATTTACACGATTCATTGTATTTGCTGTTTTGTAACGGGGCACGCGGACCTGCCGAGAGCCTCCCACTTCCAGCACACATCACCTTCGAGGCCAGTCCTGTAGAGTGAGGAGGGTTCCCGGGGGCCCCTGGTGGTCCTTGCTCATCGCCGATGAGTTGCTCACAAAATTGTGTTTGAATGAGAAATCTCCCGTAAGCAAAAATTATGTGTGAGCATTCCTAGGACCCCCACATTGTGATTCGTGAGCACGTTCCCAGTGATCACGTCTCTGTGCGTTCAAGACCCAGAAACAAAACTGAGTTCTCGCCTGCCTCTCTCTGCTCAATCAAGAGCCACACAGGAGAGTTTGGGGAGCAATGGGAAGGCGGGGGCTGCTCCTAGTGGCTGATCTCATTGCACTGGACTCTGCTGAGGGACTGTCGAAACCCCCTGTGCGCTGTGGGCCTGGCAGGGAGGGGGTGTCGTCTCCGTTGAAGCTTACTCCTCAAGTCACGATTTCCCCACTTCCCCAGTTAGAGCGAGGAACGGGGCAGCCAGGGCCCTGAGTGAAGCTCAGACGAAAAACAAACTTAGAAAGCACATTGCTCCTCTGAATCCTTCTTACCCGATCAGCTAATACTTTAGACGGCAGAGACGCAGGCAGAACTGGGGGGCTCCAATCAACCTCGGTGCCCATGTTGAGAATGCCAGAGCAGCTGGTAGGGCTTCTGCAGGGGAATCACTGTCCCCACATCAGCACTGTGCTCATTGAGCCTGTCTGCAGCCTCACAGTGCAGGGCAAGGGGTTCTGGGAAGTGAAAATGCGGCTGCTTGTCATCTGCACGCCCCCGAGAGAGGAGGGCTGCGGGAGAGGAAGGCTCCAAAGGATGTTAACTTAAGGAAGGGGACTCCTTTCCAGGCAGCCTTCACGAGCTCCAAGAGCGTGTGAGAGAAGGCCCCCTCCTGGGCTTGATTTCTGGCCCTTGGTCTTGGTTGAATACCCAGAGCGGAGAATTCTCTTTGCGGGTCACTCAGAAATACCAGGTTTCCTGAACGTGTTAAGGATTTCAGACATCTGCACAGAGTTGTGTTATGGACACCCAGCAGTGAATTCACATCATGTGGCGGCAGGTGGACTAAATAAACACAGGCCCCCCTTCTCCCACTCTGCCTGGTGTGGTGTTTGCCCCTAAAATCTGTCGCCTCCTTTGGACACCGCAGACACGGGCCTCTGTCTTAAAGGGGCTGCCGTGGCGACTGTGATGCCTTTGAAACCGGCATAAAAGGGTTCGACCTGTGTTGTTGTCCTTGGAATTGATACGCTTGTGAACGGGTGTCAGGACCAAAGAGACCCTGTAGCACCTGGTGGGGTGGGGTGTGGGGTGGTGTGAGCAGGCCCATGGCATCACCAGCACTCTTGTCTTGGTGGTAAAGCACACCCAGTTTGCCCTTGTTTTCTCAAGACCCGTGCCACGGGAGTTGTACCCGTCACCACACTCAGCACAGTCGAGCTGTCTCGGGGAGCAGTGCACGCACGTGGGTCTGCAGACACGCAGCGACGGCAGTCTGTTGCCAGGGGGTTCCCGCACGCTTACCACGTGAGCTTTGGAGTTCCGTTCATTTGAGGCACTCTAAAATGCAGAGTCAGATTTTGGGGTCTCTCCTTATTTTTATCTTCAGAGTTCCGGCGGAAATGCCACCAGCTATAAATCTGAGCCAGTATTTTAGAGAATGCTGTTTGGAGAAACAATCATTTCCAGAGTCGGCTTTGTCAGGCCCCTTCTCTGAGCCTTGTTCTCCCCATCAGCCAGACAGAGGGCAGGCCTCCCTTGCCGCCTGCTAGGATTTCTCGTTGTGAGAGTCAGACGTGACCGTGTGTGCACATGTCCCTTGAGCAGGGAGCACGGAGTGCTGTGAAAATGTAAAACGCAATCTGTACGGTTGTGCCGGGGCGGACGATCGATGTGCTGTGACCTGCTGGTGACTGAGTTCACGGGCAGCTGCCCAGAGCAAAACGAATGGCCTCGGGTGACTCTCCTTCCTCTCTCCCGTTTTGCTCTAACTTCACTTCCTTCTCCATTAACGCACAAACAACATTTACTAAACATCTTCCATGCTCCTGATGTTCTGCCTTTTCTGGCCCCAAATATGTTGAACAGGAACCTTGCCTTCTGGGACCTTAGAATCTAAGTCAGATAACGCAGACGGGCGTGAAAGGTGGACGATGCACATCAGTAACATGGCTTAAACATCAGTAACGTTTGTTGGAAGTTCACGAGTGCGTTAGGTGCTCAGCGGGAAGAAGTGGAAGTTGTGTGTTTGGAAATAAGATCTTGGGGGGAAGTCATCTTCAGCAGCAACTTCAGTGAGGACAGGGGGCTGCCCTGGGGAATGGTGATGTCATGTGGGGAAGCTGAGTGTGGGCCCCGGAAGGAGGGAGAAAGTGGGCGGAGCTGTCCTTGAAAGTGAACTTGATCCCGGCCTGCTACAATATGGGGACAGCATTCCTTCTCAAACCGTCTGGGGAGTTTTATAAGAGGAGGAAGCAGTGCTGTGAGTCTCCATGTGCGGGGTACGACAGCGGAAGGACCCAGCCCGTGAAGAAGGTCTGCGGAGGAAGAGATCCGTCCCGGAGAGACTCGAGCAGACCGCAGTCTGCCGAGGAGCCGATGGAAAGCAGGCGAGTAGTGTAAGAGCTGCACCATCGGCTCCGCTGCTCAGGGCAGACCTCGGCGGCCAGACATCGGGCCAGTTTCAGTCCTTTGTGAAGCGTAATGCGTTATAAATACATACATGTGAGTTCTTAATAGCCACCAACATTTTTTTCTCCAAGTCGGATTTCATTTCAGAGCATGTTTCGCGTTTGGTGGCACATGGTTTTTGAGCAGCAGACTAAGGGGGTTTTCGGCCAGCCAGGCTTTTCGGGGTGCAAGGCCTACGATGCAAAGCACAGGTGAGGCAGAGCAAAGGTCTGCCTGAAGGCTTTGGGCCGAAACAAATAATTCTGTGCTTTCTGAGCCTCCACTGAACTGTGGACAGGGTCCGTGTTGACCGCACTGCACAGCGTCTCAGTGCTCCGGTGGGCCAGCCAGTCACTCGGACACTGATTGGCGTGTGCAGTGACTCACGAGCTAATCATTGAATGCACTCCTCAATCCCTTCACGCCAGAGATGTGAAAAAGTGTGTTGGTTGGAACGGAAGCTGGTTAAAGTCCTGGGCAGGCGGGTGGGGGCCTCTAGTCTTCAGAACCACACTGACTTCAGCTCTAGTTAAGTTTTAGCCATTTCATTTCTACCTCCAGAGCAAGCCTCCAGAGCCAGCCTCCAGAGCCTGCTTGTCCGCTTTTGTCCCAGACAGGAGCACAACAAAGTCCTCTTCTGTACCTGCAAACAGCCCTTTGACCACAAAGCCCGTTCTTATGGGATGGTAACTTGAACTTCGTCTTTACATTTCATCCAGCACATTAACAGACATTCTTGTAACATGTGAGAAGGGTTTCTATGAGCATCTGCTGTACCGTACTCATAAAATGTAATAGGCTGACACGTAATACCGAATGAGCAAGGAGTGTGCACATTTCAGGTTTCTTTGGATATTTTTGGCTGTGATTTTCAGTGTTTACTCAAGGACTCCTTTCTCTAACTCTAAAAAGATTTGAAAACCGAAACCTCACGGTGCAATCCTAATTCCAGGCCCAAGTGTGTAATGACACACTTGACAATTCATCTTAAGAACATGCAGCAGCATTGAAATTTAGGAAAAGAACATTTAAATGCCTTTGGAAAACAAAAAACAATGTCAGGAGCCCGTGAGTGAGTGAGAAGGAATGAATGTGCAAATCTGAGGAACTCGAGTCCGTATTGGTGTCCCACAGGGTAGATAATCGTGCAGGTGGCTTGCTTTTTTCCCTCCTTCCAGGTTTTTCTGTTCTGGGGCCACTTTGGATTTAAAGAAAGGGTGAAGGGACAGAGATAAAAATAGTGATTTGGGTCTTGCGGTCCCTGAATTCCATGGAATCATTCTGGACATCTTGGAGCATCATGCCTACCAGATTTCGTGCATTTATAACTCGACTCCCTAGGTGTGCAAGTCAGGAGTAGTACAGGGCCAAGTTTAAGTCAGATGCCCTGTACTGCTCCTTCTGCAGATGTGGGGAAAGAAGGAGGTGCTGGAGGAACAGAAGCTCCACCAATGAACTCAGTTGCTCTAAGCACCAGAGGGCTCATTTCAGAAAAGGGGAGTAGACTCCAGAGGATCCTCTAGGGAGCATGGAGAGTGGGCTAGCCTTCCCCTCACAGGAAAAGTTGCTTAGCAGAGCTGCTCTGGGATGCCCCCTTGTCTCCTCCTCCTTTGTCAAGGTCCATATTCTTCTGACTCTCCCTGCACTCCCATTCCTAGATTATGAGTGTTAATGTACGAAAATACACAGAGTGCATTGAGGCCACTTGTGGCATCGGTACTGCAACTTGAACTTGACAATCATGGTTTGCTGGTCTCACACGGGCACTTAAATTTTGCTATGGGTGTACGATTTAGTAACTGAATCTTCCCTTCTATTTGTCGGTTATGTTTCTTCCCTTCAATTAGCTGCACTGTTTTCTAATGTGCTATAGAGTTTTTTGAAATAATTTATGCAAGTGTTTGGTTTCCATGTTTACAATTTATACAGCTTTCCTAGCATTTTAAATGGAACTGTCAATAAATGCTACAAATTGGTGTCAAGCAATATTTTCTGTTTATTTCCTTTGCAACAGGATAGTTTTCTCATTTATAAAATGTGAAGGTTGCATGAAATGGGTTTTTTTTTTCCCATTTACTAGTTTTCATTTCCCTGGTGAGAACATTTAGTGCTTTTATTTCCCAAGGAATTAAGTTGAAAGTCCTCTATTCCGTGTGTGGAATTTGCAGAATTGTTTTCAGTCACATTGGCTGGCGCTACTCCTTTCTACAGGCCACTCCTCAAGTCGATGCTTTCACTAAGAGCAGATTCATTTTGGAATTAAAAGATTAGGGAGTCTACAGTCCAGAAAGATAAATGAGAAGATCAAAGTCTATACATTTGGGAAGGGAATAGTGTAAACTTGGAGTTGATGAAACCCAAGAAAGTAGGAACCCCTCGAAATGGAGGAAAGCAAAAGGGACTATGAAATGCAGCGGAACATAACGAAATGAAACACGGAAACCTGGATAGGATCCTGAAACAGCCACCGCAAAGGTAATCAGCGGAAAAATGGGGAAATCCAAATAAAGCCTATAGCCGGGTGTCAAACTCATTTTCACTGGGGGCCACATCAGCCTTGCGGCTGCTTTCAAAGGGCCGAATATAACTTTAGGACTGAATAAATGAAACTACTCCTTGACTAGGGGCAAGGAGCTTGGCACTAGGACCTTGGCAAGGAGCAGCAGCTGGGTAGAAACAAGATGCTGGGCGGGATAAAACAAGGTGGAGGGCTGGATTCAGCTCAAGTGCCTCGTGTTTGCCACCTGTGAGCTATAGTGTAGTTCAAGTTCACAGTTTATGCAAAGGTTGATATATTGGTTTTGCTAACTCTGTTGTGACTGTTAAGACTTTAACATTAGGGCAGCTAGGTAAAAGGTAAACAGAAACATTGCATTCTTTTTGCAGTTTTTCTCTAAATCTCATTAAAAATCAGAAAACAAATTAATCTGGTACAGATAAAGCCCATAGTCTCCCCCTCCCCCACCTCCCAACAGAGGCTAATGATGAGCCTGCCCTCAGCATCCGCAGCCTAGAACCTGCTGTACTTCTCAGGGGAGCCAGCTCCTGCTGATGGTGAAACAGGTGACAGGTACATTAGTAACACTAGTGACAGGTGTAAGTTACTAGTGTTTCCTCGGCAGGAAATAAACCTTCATGAAGGAGAGTTCAGGGCCTAGGATCAACCAGAAGGATAATTTGAACCTAAACATTCAAGAAAATAGACAACTATGAAAGGGAACTTAAAGAAAGTACGTATCAAGTGTTTAAAGAGGTTAAATAAAACCTAGAAAACCATAGAAGAATAGGCTATTCGGAAATTAAGCACATTCGACAAAACCAAAAATGAATCCTCGAAGGGGAAATTAAAGAGCTTAAAAACATCATGTATACCCACATGGCTGAAGAAGTAATTGCGACAGACTTAATATATCTTTACATCTTAGTAAGTACACTTTAGATGAAAGACAAAAAAACAACACCGTGTGGACTGACTGGTCCAGCTCGGGCCCCAAGTGATCTTATATGCCTTGAATGTAAATAGGTTCAAAACGATAGAAGAACAAGGAGATACTAGACGCAGTTTGGGCTGGGAAGAGAGGTTGGTCAGGCTGGACCCGAGCCCAGAGCCTGGATGGGGAATTGACATGAATGTGAGTGTAAACCACAGCTGGCATAACGGGAAATTCTCTTTTACCTCTTCCACGGTGCACCTGCCAAGCACAGCTTAAGGTAAGTAGAAAACAAGAAACAATGGCAAATACGAAGAGCAATGTTTCGCTCCAGTGCTGCAATTAAATGTTGAAATTGATGACGTTTTCATTGTTGTTGGATCATGCACTATTTAATAACTTTTTTCCTCTAAAGGTCACCCACACTTCCCCTGCTACACCCTTCTGGGGAATTAACTGTGGGGGGAGTTTGTTTTCTCGGGCATTGGGGGACTTGACAAATTACAGTCCCTAGTCTCAATAGCCCGTGTTTATGTCATTAAACTGTTACTTGTTGTACTTGTGCCAAAGGATAGCGTCACAGAAGCGAAGAAAACAGCATACCAGGAAAACTCAGATTGTAAGATGGTTTTCTAGTGGCCGGGTCACGGGTGATGGAGCGAGACAAGTACCTCGGAAACACGCATTAGTGTTAAGTGCTTAGGTTTGGGTTCTCTGAGGTGATGCTCTACCTCAGATCGGTGGCTTCCTTTAGCATTTTATTTCATTTCAGCATTTTAAAATTCTGAGGTTGTCTGAAGGAAACATTCGTACAAAGAATTTAAAAAAAAAGAAGAAGAAGAAGGGCTCGAAAGCCAACATGGGGTTGGTGCATTTAGGCACAGAAGGATGCCAGTGTTTCTCTTCCAGCTGCGGTTCCGCACTGCGGCCACCTTTGCAGGGCGGCAGGGACGTTCTGTTTCTGGCGGAGCTGGGCGTTCCCCTCAGATCCTCCTGCAGCTCTGAGTGCGAGGCGGGTGGCATCCCCGCCTGACTTGGAGTCCACGGCCCAGTCTGTGTTTTGGTTGCTGTTTTATAGTATCCTGGGGCCTTTCGTTTGGGTTTCCTTGGGAGACACAAATGAGGAGTCGAGTAAAAAAAAAAAAATCGAATTAGCCAAATTTAAGTCAGAGCATCACATTAACCCTAGGTAGCCCATTAACCCTTATCTCTTTTGCTCTATTTTTCCTGGTCCAAATGCAGATGAGCAAAATAGAAGGACATGAAAACCACTGTAGCTCCACCATCAGAGATGCTGCTGTCAAACTGTTAGTAAGTTTTGCAACTTAATCTTGTTCGGTGATTGGGACCAGTCAGGATATTTGCTTTTTAACTGATCTCACAGTAAGCTATTGATCTGGATTCGAAGCAGGGAGAAGGCTGGGAAAAGGGCCGGAGACTTAGAATTGGTGCAGGGTATTCTGGGAGGAAGGATCAATAGCATTTTCTAACTGCTGGAGGGAAATGGCACCTTGACCTTTGTGCCCCTCCCTTTGTGCCTAGTAATGCACTTGCCCCATTGACCTGACACTTTTCAGAGATGTTTTAGGGGCTTCCTTAGTGTTTGTAGCTGAGAGAGGGGACTTCATGGTGAGGTGGGCCTGGTGCAGAAAGCAACATTCTGTTTCTGGCTGTTGGCTCTAACACTAGGTCATTTAGGGGCTTTGGCCCACCAACACCTTGGAGGGACCCTTTTGACAGGTGCCTGCCTCAATGTCTTCTCCTTGTCTGTGGGACTCGCCTTCAGCGGCTTGCTAGGCATACACATCAGTGTCATAACGCATTTCCTGCCCAGGCTGCCACCTTTGTCATCCCCCAATGGCCACACAGACCACGAGCCAGGCAGGTGTAGCATCTCACCTATTTCGGCAGAGTCAAAGGTATGCTTCAGCCTATGATAAAGTCCTCCATGCCTCACCCTCTCTCCAGATAATTAAGGTTTACCTTCTGAGGTCACCGACCGCTGGACCTCAGAAATGAGGGTGTGTATGCTCCTCATAGGAGTGGATGCGAGGTTACCTCCTGAATTTTCAGATCCCGCAGAATTTAGAAGGAGGGTGTTGTGGCGTGACTATCAGGATTTAAAACAATTATTGATGGGCTAAGTCACAGGCCAAAAAGCAAAACAAAGCAATTTTATATATTCCTACTAAATTGAAAGCCCTACTTCTAGATTTAAAATATTATGATGAGCATATAGGATGAAGGGAATACGGTCTAACAGAACTTTATGGAAAGAGATTTGAGGTTGTTGACTGACATATTAGGGATTATTGGGGCCATTGGAATGGTCAGAGATACTGGACCATTCCAATGGATACTGGAAAGATCAACACAGCCTTAGACAGTACAAATACAGATATGTCACCCCAGTAGAGGATGTAAGAATTTCTGTCTGCTGGTTACTTGAAAAATACAGGTGCCGTATTTTTGGAAGGAGCATTATGAATTGAATGGAGAGACTGGGAGAAGAGGAACCCGAATGGCAGGATGGAAACCACGTTATTTGAGGAAGAAACCAAGCAACTAGGTGTTTGCCTGGAGGAGTGAAAGCTCGTAGGTGAGCACGCTGTTTTCAAATACCCCGAGTTGTCATGAGGAAGGGGAGTGACTTGCTTTATGGTCTTCTGGAAGACAGAACTAATGTAGAAAGCAAGTCTTGGCCTCGTTCAAAGAACAGTGATCTCAGGAGGTCAACACAGAAAAGCCATTCTTTGGAAGTCCTTCCCATCGGCCTCTGGTGAGGACCTCCCTCCCATGACACTAACCTTGGACCTCACATGTCCTCCAGTAGAGGGGATACATTCTGGGCCTGAGGCCCCCCAGCCTACCTAGTCCTTTTCTGAGACTCTCATGAGCCCACTAGTTGGAAGGCTAGGACCTGGACACCGGTAGGGGACATGGTGCTGTGGTTGTGACAGACGAAAACCAGCTCAGGCTCTGCCATAAAATGAAGGGGGGAAAGGACAATTGTTTAGTGCCTCTTAGAGAAGTAGTGACAAATGAAGTTGAATGGTTTGTGTATGTACAGGTAGAACACGGTGTATTGCACATAACTGCAGAGAATCTCAATCCCGATGCTGAGAATCTCATGCAACAGCAAATAAACTCACTGAACACTGAGTAGATCGTGTGGTGGTACTGCTGATACATGAATGCATTCACTAAACACGTGTTTATTCAGTGCAAGCTATGCCATAGATACTGTTGCAAGCACTGGGAATTTGGAATACTTTGGTGAATAAGACAGAAAAAATACCCACCTACAACTGGGAAGCTATAGATAGACAGTATGGAGGTCATCGTGACCTTGACAAAAGGTGTCTCAGTGGAGTGTGGAAGGAAGAAGCTAGCATGGAGGGGGAATGAAGGAGGATCAGGAGGTGGGAACAGAGAGAACAGTGGATTCGGCCAAGTGTTTTCAGACGTTTTGCTGAGAAGGGAGTAGAGAAGTGGAAACTGGAAGGTGTGGCTATAGGATGCCAAATAAAGTATAGGGAACCCAA